ATATCAGCAACAGTAAGAGGCCAATCAAAAGCCATGTGACCAACGTGCTTAAGAAAAGTTAACCACAGATGCTTGTCACAAAGTGATAATTTTTTTGATGATAGGCTCAGGAAATGGTATGACTTAACATTCAACCTTGTCATTGACTCAGGAATACTACTCCTGTATCCCAGAAAACTCTATGATTCCCCATTTATACTCCACTGGTTATAAAGCACTAGAAAAGATAGCACAAAAATGACTATGTATGTTTGTCAGATCTTCCTTCACACCCCGGACAAGACATTGTAAGCTTGCTACCTTCCCTTTGACCTGAAATGTCATTGCTTTTAAGACACTTTGACTTTTAAAAGGTTGTTATTGCTACTTAGCTGAAAAAATTTCCCTAGACTTTACCAGCCTTAAGTTCAAAGGAGGTATTTATTAACATTAAGATCCTGGGTATTGTTGCGCCCACTTTGAGGGAAATAAACATTAATATTCTGTAAAGGGACACCTCTGTTTGTTGAGCTATAGTCTATGAACTGCTCAGTGAGGCTCATTCACTGTGAAGTTTGCTCTGAACTCTTATTTTGCTCCTCCAGTTCTTCAAACCAGTGCCTGAGAAGTGCCTGTCATGGACGTCTGCCTTGAGGACACCGGAATCCTTTCATGTGGACCATCTCCCCGTGCTCCAAAGGCTGCCCCTTCATGATGGTGTCAGGGCAGCGACATGCTCTGTGCACTGTGAGCAGAATATCTTTCTTCCCTTCTGTGCATTTTATGTGCTTTCCAACAACCAACAGAACGTCACATGTACCCCCAGAATCCTCCCTGCACCAACTGGCCCCATCTGATTGTCTGCAGACTCTGTCTCTACTGGACTCTAATTGATTGCCATCTTCTCCCCAGCTTCCTGAAAGGCAGCTTCCCTCCCCCCACGCAACCCCCAAATGCAAATCAACTACTCCAGATGAGTAGAGGCCACTAGCTCTGATCAGCTTATCAGAAACATCCTAGTAGCGCTGCAGCCCAGCTCTGCGTACAATTTAATTGAAACCTTCACTAGAGCAACACTGTCCAATAGAAATGGAACACAACAAGTGCCAGCTCTGGGTCATTCATTTAAAATTTAGTAGCCACATTAAAGAAAAAGAAATGAAAATAATTTTAGTAACTTTTTTTATTTAACCAAATACATGCAAAATAATCTCTCCAATAATCAAAATGAAAAAAATTATTAATGATATATTTTACATTAGTTTTTCACACATACCATCTTCAAAATCGTGTGTATACTATATTTACAGCACAATTAATTTCATGTTTCAAGTTCTTAATAGTCACATGTGGCTAGTGGTTACCATATTGGGTCTCTCAGCTTTATAGCACAGGAAAGAATTTTGAAAATTTTGAAATATTTTGCAAATGAGACTTTACAAGGTTACATGAGTTCCAACAAGTCAGACAGCTAACCAGCAGCAGAGACATGGCTTGAACCCTGAGATCCTGATGCTCAATCATATGCATTTTTATTCATTTAGTGCTGCTTATCTTAAATTTGTAAAGCCACTCTGTTACTAAAACAGTTCTATCTAAAAAATAACCAAGAATGTGGCAAAATAATTTGGACTGTTGTTTTTGTTGGTCTGTAAGAGATTTGGTTTCTCCAACTGAATAAAATCTTCCTTGCAATTGTTTTTTGATATCTCCTTGAATTAAATCAATTAATATCTCCTTTTTAAACTAGAACATGAATAAATTTTTCAAAAGAAAATATTTGACAAAAAAGGAGAATTAGAGGTAATATTTATCCAGCTTTTAACTAGGTGCTAAATGATGTGCTACATGCTAAACGATGCTCAGTGATTTTCAGCTTCATCTCATGAAATCCCTGCAGCAATTTGAGTGGAGACAATTATCTATTTAAAGATGAGATAATTTGAAGGCTAGTGAGGATAAGTAAGTAGCCTGAGTCAGAAAACAAGTAATGACTACAAAAAAATTACATGGCCATTGAGTGACACTCTTCAAAACAAAACTTAAGCCTTGGCCCTGAATCCCAGGCCTGTACTCTTTCCCTCCACCTCCCAGCACCCACAATTATTTAGTTGTCTGTGGACTTGAAATACATGGAACCTTTTCTGTGACACAGATCCAAAGGCTGAGTGTTTCCACTGGCTCTTATCTACTGTTTCCCTGGGGACAAACATTTCCCATGGAATCAATTCATTCCATGTTCCATTGAGATCAGTTGTAATTCCAGCTCTTGATCCCTTTTGCACCGGGTTAATTTTCACCTGCTATTGGGGTATTCCATCATGTTCCACTACAAATGTATTTATTAATTCTGAAGTCAATCCCCTAAGCACCTTACCCTTCAGGCCTGTTAATCTACCATCTTTTTCAGGGTTATCCTCTCTTCACTCATTATAATATAAAATGTCATAAAATGCCATCATGCATAAAATGTCTCTTAATTAATGTCATTCAGTTTGACCTGCCTTAACACATAGAGTAATTTCTAAAAATTTATAATAAATCCACTTCCTCCATTTATTTCCACTATCAAGTCATGCGGGAGATATTTGATCCCAAAAGAAAAAAAAAAGCACTTTAGGATTTAAAAATTTTAAAATACTCTCTGCTCCTGTTGACTCACAGTCCTCATGTATTCAGTCCATGTATATATTTCCTGAAATACTTGTTATGTCTATAGGGCATATAGACATATGCCCTCTAATTTATAAGCACATCTGCATTACGTACGTATGTGTGTATGTGCTCAGTTGCATACAACTCTTTTGTGAGTCCATGGACTGTAGCCCGCCAGGCTCCTCTGTCCATGGAAGTTTACAGGCAAGAATACTGGAGTGGGTTGTCATTTCCTTCTTCAAGGGATCTTCCCAACTCAGGGATCAAACCCATGTCTCTTGTGTCTCCTGCATTGGCAGGCAGATTCTTTACCACTGTGCCACCTGCATTACAGATTGTTAATTCCATGCCTGGATTACTTGACAGAGTAAGTAAGCGGATATTTAGACAACCAACAATGCAGAATTTTTTTTTTCCAGAAAGAAGCATCTTCTAAATGACTTTCGGGAGTCAGAAAGCATGACTTCAGCATGCTTGAAAGTTTAGAGTTTTGAGTGATTTTTTTTTAAATTTAAAATTAGATATTAAGGATCACCATTAAAATTTCATTTTTCTATTCATAAAAATAATATGACCTTCACAAATTCTCTTTTTAACAGTGCTCTCAATTTTTTCCCAGAGTTCAGATGTACAGTCGAGCAGAAAAAAGGCATCCAAAATGGTTACCAATAATTAACTGGCAAATTGGTGACTGTGCTTTCCTATCTGAAGCATTAAATGATCTCTTAATTACTCTTTACAGTTCATCCTCATCACTCCCTTAATGTAATGTGTTGGCTGGTGTGGAATATTTTTGTTTATAAATGAAAGCTAACACATAAGATAGACTGTAATAAGGGGTCTTATACTGTCTAGACCATTTAAATCCACTTTTATCCACAGATAAGAGACTGCTCTTAATAGTGGCTTTGATGTTGAGAAAGTAATCAATGAACCTATAGTTATTTTCAGGCAATTTATGGAGAGTTACCATTTTAGAGTCTTACAAGGAGCATGGGTATCTCTAATCCACTTTCAAGATGCTATTTTCCCCTTAAAATTCTTGGGGAAATCTTCAGAGGGTCAGTTGGGGATTTCAGAACTTAAATCACCTTCTGAATTTAAGCTGGATATATTTGAATGTCATGATCCACTTGACATGATCGATTACTAATCTGCTATGTTATGGAATATTCTATAACTTCATTTGGATTTAGGGAGTTTCTATTAGTTTACATATGATGCACAATGAGTGATCCAGAAATTTTAAAATGTCCTGAAATAATTTTTGTGACATGGGAAAATGTTAAATAAGAAAACAGGATAAAAACTAAATACATCTTGTGATTCAAAATATTTTATCAAGTCTGTGTGTGTGCATTAATCTGAGAAAAAAATACACCAAATGTTAACAGAAGTTATTGCTGGAATTAAGAGTTCTTTTGCTTTTTACATTTTATTAAAATTTTCTAAATTTGCTTTAATGAAAATGTGCCACTACTATAGGTTTTTAAATGACCGAGGATTTGTATGAAAACATCTGGGTGTATATGAAGATGTGTGTTATATAACATTTAAGTTCCCAGAAGAGGTCAAGTATTTCAGGTCCAGTTTCACAGACACATTGTTCCATTATTCATAATTACTAAGTCACCAGGACCCATTCTGATAAAGGCAGCTGTACCATCCAAGGCAATCCATGACAAGAGAACTTTGAGAAAAAGAAATTTTATATAGGAGCTTAAGAACTCTTGTCACCATCCTATAATGCTGTTTCCTTCTCTCACTAGTTGTAAAAACAGGTTTGGAAGTGGCATTCCCTCTTTCAGATGCTTGTCCATGTCATAGGATGGGAATATTGAATATTTTCAGCAACTCTCTGGAGGCTGAAGACACGACTGAGTGACTAACACACTTAGAAGGTGAAGTCCTTGAAGGTGAAGCCCTTTGGGGACAGTTTGTCATCTCGCATCATCTTCCTTGTAAAGCAGATCAGGACAAGGGAGTTTCACCCGTATTGTAAACTTGGCAACATGTGTAAATCAATAATCTAATCTTATTACTACACAGTACAAAAGTAATGCAAGTAGAAATAAGCACTAGCTTTATTTACTCATCTGCATTATAATCTAATGAGATAATAAATTCAGCCTGTCAACAGAATTCCATTTTGTACAGCATAGTAAAATTTTTCATACTTGATCACAGAAGGTTCTTTCCACAATGCTACTGCTGTAAGTTAAATTGATTCAATTTAATTAACAAGCATTTATTCAGTGCCTACTGTGCACAGCACTATAACAGGCATACAAAAATAAAAAAAAAGAACCCCGCCCAAAAGGAAGGGAAAAACCGGAAAAGAAAAAAGAATCAAGCAAAAAATTTTTTTTTAAATTACAAATTACAGAAAAATCAGTAGAATAACAAACTCTGCATTAAAGATAGGCGAGTCCAAAGGGAGCCTATAAAGGGAGTTATATGATTGGTAATGGAGGCTAGTCAGGCAAATTTGACCAGAGGAAGTAATCTTGAATTTGGTTTGATGGAAGTGACTAGCACAAGGATTGGCAGAAGAACAGAGTGCTCACTCTATGGCCAGGAGGAAAAACTCAAAGAGAGAGTAATACAAAATTAGTAAATCAACTATAGGGAATGGCAGGCAAATTGGCTTAGCTGGGGATGGGCTAGGGGTAATGGTGGAGACACTGACTTAAGAGATATAATTGAAGTCATGAAACAAAGTTGGTTGAGTGCATTGATTGTTACTAGTCAAAGTCAATTTAAATTCTAACAAAATAAAAATGCTTAAACATAGGTATAAATCACCCCCCTATAATAGTATGTGTTTTCCTAACCTTAACAAAAAAGCAAAGAAAAAGTATAGAATTTTAGACTCCAAACTCAGGAGATATGGTCATTGGAGGTAGTGATCAGACTGTACTCTGAGGAATAGTACTGAGGAACAGTACTCACTTAATGTTGTCATTTTTCTTTTAACTCACAAAGTTAGATTTAAAGTAAAGTAAGACTAATATACCCCTCAAGGTGTCAAGACCTTCAACCCAGTGTTGATCAGGCCCCTAATTCACTTGAGATTTTTCTTCTAAAAAGCCCATTTCTTCTCATACTGAATCCAACATAAACAAAAAGGTTTGGGATATGCATTTCTGGATGAACCACGGATGGGGAGACAGAATGAAAAGGGAAAACAAGATAATTTCAAAAAAGTGAGTTAATGAATGATTACAATGAATACTTTATCAAGATATTTCTGAATTTAGAAGAAAAAAAGAGGGTGAAATATCCCCATTTCCAGACTAAGAAAACTAAGGCAGAATAAATGTATAAAATGAAAGTCCATATGAGCAAAAGATTTTTAAATTAACCCAGCAAGTAAGCTAGTGATCCATACTGGAGGATCACACACACTTTTAAGCTCAGTTCATTAAAGAAAATGTCAGGGGAGTGGTTCAGGAGAGAAAGTGGTGGTGGGGGAACAAATCCTTAATTTGGAATAAGGTAGAGACTCTTGCTTTTTTTAGTTAGGGCAAGTGATGCCTTGATTGATCAGCGAGACCTTGATAATCCATCAGGTTTAGAACAGGGTAGCATCAACTCTTCATGCTTTGTCCTCTGGGCCTTCACGAGAGTCACTGACTTAGAAATGCATGATGAGGAACACTTCTGGGCCTCCAGAATATCCATGAAAATTACTGGCCACCAGCAGCTGCAGCTATCCAAATTAAATAAATAAAAAAGAGAGAGAAAGAAGATAAAGAAGAGATAAGGAAAAATTAGTTTCAGTGTGCGTAATGGTTCTGAATGAGATGGCTTAAAAATCTGTATCTTCCAAATGTGCTCCATGTTGCCATAATATTTTTTGCCAAATATCTCTATATTTCTTATTTTACAAAATCTGCACAAATTCTAAAAACAAGATAATAAAAGTTCTCTTTTGGTAACATTTATTCATTCATTACTGCTTATGTAATTAATATAGAAATGTATTCCTTTCAAATTTTTCCCAGTAAAAGAATTCCTCATTGTCCGGTAGATATTTAGTAGGTATTTATTGAGTGACTGATATATAAAGTCCTATATTAAGTCCTGAGGAAACAACTATAAATTAAATAGTCTCTGTCTTCACAAAGGTTATACACATTTTTAAGCAAATTATGGCAAAATTTCAGAAAAACAGCATGCAATAACATCATATCACTATTTAAAAGAATAAAAAAAACAATATGCCTTAGCTAGAATTCAGATCTTAGAAGTCAGAACATTTTATCAATTATACCTCAATAGAGCTAAAAAAAGAAAATTTAATACAGTTAAGAAACAAGTAGCAGAATGCAAAAAAAAAAAGCACACAAAACATAAGACAAATATAATCCAAGGACATGGCATTGGAAGTTCTACATCCGCTTATGCTGCCATAAATGTTGGCCAACATAATAGGAATGTAGTATTGATAGACCCACAGAGAAATGGGGCTCAGTCTTGATTGCTTCTAAACTTGGGGTAAAATGTGACTGGAAGTATTACATACCACACTCCTGTTCATTTGTGTGAGCTAATAAATTTCTTTTCTACTTAAGCTAATTTGGGTTGAGGTTTTTTATTATTAACATTATTAATTATGGGGGAGAGAGAAATCCTACTAATACAGTTTTAGAATTAGGAATGAGGGAAGAGTTAGAAAAGATTTTCAAAAAATTCATCACTTTTCCATGTATAAGGCAAAACATATCAGTAATTTTGGCAAATAGTTTAAAAATTAAGAAAGATAGCACTAAGGCATATCTGACTCTTTGTGATCCCATGGACTATAGCCTACCAGGGTCCTCTGTCCATGGGATTCTCCAGACAAGAATGGGTTGCCATTTCCTGCTCCAGATTATCTCCCTGACCCAGGAATCAAACCTAGGTCTCCAGCATTGCAGGCAGATTCTTTACCAACTGAGCTACACAGGAAATTAAAAATTAAAGAGGTTCAAAAGTAAAAGAGGTTAATGAATTAGCGAACGCATTGGGAAATCAATAATGATGAGCCCAGAGGATTCTCTTAGTCTCTTCCCAATGCGTCCTGTATGCTGCTGCTGCTGCTGCTGAGTCGCTTCAGCCGTGTCCAGCTCTGTGCGACCCCATAGACAGCAGCCCACCAGGCTCCCCCGTCCCTGGGATTCTCCAGGCAAGAACACTGGAGTGGGCTGCCATTTCCTTCTCCACCATCTATGTATAAACATGGTCAAAATGGGCAGGAGAGATTATATATCTGTCTCTGCTATTTGTATAACTATAGGGATGTTTTTATCTTCCATCAATTAGTGAAAGTCCTTTTCTATCACTAATGCTACTTTTATGTTCCCGAATTTTTGTCTTTTCTTTCTCCCACTGGAAAATAACTGAACTCTCTGGATCTGAAGCCTGAAAGGGCTGAAAAGGTGGACTGTAAAGGGTATAAGATGACTTGCTGTGGCAATAATGCCTCTCTGCACAAAATGCCCCATTTTGAGAGGGGAAAAAAAAAGGAAGAGCATACTATTTATAGGGGAAGAGAATGCAAACATAATAGCTCAAACCTGCTCGGGCAGCTGCCATTTTCTTGTTTCGCATTTTGTTCTCCAAAGCTTGCTAGCAATAAAAAATAGTAAAGAAGGAGAACATGAGATTTCCTAGTGCTTTCTACAACTTGACATGAATGAAGACAAATATTTCTCTGAAATATATTGTATCCTACCTGTTTCATCTTCTTCTTTAGATCCAAATTTGCTGCCTTCTGGCCCTTTGCAGTGGCATTGAGATAATAGATGGTCAAACTAAATTAAAAAGATAAAATTAAATGTATGGTATTTTTCAGTTCTTCAAGATCTGCTTAAATTTACATTAATTAAATCATGGAATATTGGCCCTGGAGTGACTTTAAGATATTTTCTACTCCAAACCTCTATTATGTAGATAAAAGTCTGTGAAGTACAGAGAGGTGAATAAGCATGTTCAGAACTTCACAGTGACTAGAGTGGACCTGGGAAGTGGAACCCAAGGCTTCTCCTTCACAGCCTAGGGCATTCTGTATGATATACCTTACTGCTAATTTTAGCTGCTCCTTGGAAATGTAGTAATATCATTTTATGCTATAATTGAAAACAGCATTTTAAATTGATACCAATGGCATCCAAGGGAAGAGGAAATCTCTTGAAGCTTAGGGAATGTGTAGAAGAAAAAGGAGACTGACTCTCCACTTTAAATTCTCTCCTTGGGCTTTTACAACTAAGACTATAATCCTCAGTCATAGTTAATTAACATGGCCTTTTTATCCATAGGATGTGTTGTTTGCCTTTCTGTCTCCTTCAAAAGAAAATGTCTCAGAAAAGAATAGTCTTGGCATATAAGTGACATTTACATTTCTCAAAAGAGCAAATTCCAGCCAAACATTTTTGCAAAAATAAACACATTCATCTTCACTTAAAGCAAAATAAACAAAGAGGGAAAATGCAGTTTTTTTTTTTTTAAAAAAAGGTAACTGACATTGCCCTTTATGGCAAATAACTGGTACACATTGCCTCTACTCCAGCATGTCAGATCATAACCTTTAAGAGCCATCTGCTGCTAGCAACACAGTTATTGATATCGTTTCTGCTGGGTTTATTTCTTATACAAGTGTTGGGAGTTTGAATGACATTATATACCTGAAAACATCTGGTGTAATACCTGGCATGAAGTAGGTGCTCAATAAATGTGTATGTGTATTACAAAAATTTTCTTAGAAAAGTGTCTGGATTTGGAGGGAGAACTCAAAGACCTCACAAATCATTTGCAGACTGTAATTCTTTATTCATTCATCACTTTTTCTGTCCTGAGATGCACCTTCAGTGAGGAAGACTCATAGATCATTTTTTAGTCTCCAAAGGAATGAAACTGCCTGCAGAGACTTAGCTTAAACTCAGTTACCCCAAAACCATTCAAGCTGATTGAACATGATTCACTGGGGAAATTCAAAATGCATGTAAACATTCTCTAATTAATGGTAACAAAAAGCCAAACCAATTGTATGGACACCATTAAGTGTTGAAGATGAGATCTCAGTATCTGAAATATCAAATCAACAATAAACTGAAATTCAGGTTTAAAATCAGAACGTCAGAACTAAAATCAACCTTGTGGGACATCTATTTGATCTTACATCCTGCCAGTTTCCATCTAGACAGTCTATATCAGGGGTTGTCAAACTATTGCCTCCAGGGCAAATCTGATTCCCAGCCTGTTACGTATGACCCATGAACTAAGATTGGTTTTTATATTTTTAAATAGTTATAGAAGTATTTAAATAATATCCTCAACTTTGCCTCTTGGATCACAAAGCCTGAAGTATCTACTATTAATATCTTGGCCCTTTAAGGAAAAGTGTGCTGACCACGGGTGTAGAACATCTCAGACAAGTGGCTTGCAACTCTTATGAGCATATTCACTCAGCCTGAACTAAGTGTTCAGTGCTAAATAAGTATAGGGGAATAAGAGGTGGGGAATAAGAAGACATGGGCTTGAATTTACTTATTAGCCATTTGATTTGGGGCACATCTTCCATGTGCTTTCAATAATATGATTAATGTGGCCAACTTCTTAAGGTTATTGTGGAAATTAAATGGATTAATACATGAATCGTGCCTGGAACAAGGGTAGTGTTCATTCCTCTCCCATACCCCCAAGGCAGCTTATTAAATCTTTAATTAGCAGCATTAGAACAATGTTGCTCCTTTGCTTAGAAATAAATCTGTCTCTCACTAAGTTAAGAATATAGTCATATAAAGTAATTAGCCTCCAACTAATAAAAATAAATGGAAAAAAAAAAGAATATAGTCATAAAATCTGACATTAAGTTTTGTGTGTGTGTTTTAAAACAAGACCTCCTTTATACCACAAAAGCCACATGACACTTAATATGGTCTCCTTAGCTGCTGCATCATAAAAACTCAGAGAAGAAAAATCATTTCCAGGGCTATCTGGGGAAACATGCTGCCTCCAGCAGGTTATGTTCTAACACATCTGCACCAGAGATTCACTATCAGGTTCCTAATGCTGCCCCATGATCAAGGTTCTGTAATACATGATCTGTTTTACTGTTTAATTATCCCTACAGGCTATTAGCTCTCCCTCAAAGAAGGTGTAAGAGGTGAGAGTTGGATTTACTGTCAAAGCCTTCCTATCATTTTGCTGTATTCTCACCTAGGGAAAAACCAGTTCCTGCCTCTAAGTCCGTTTCTCAATTTATAAACTTGAAGATGACACCTGCCATCACGGATGTAGCTCGTGACCACAACCACTGCAGAGATGATCACAACAACTTGGCCCAGAACCAAGTCCATTGACTTGAACCACTGGGAGTTTTCCCCTGAGATTTCCTAGTTTTACCTTTATTTAAACAAATCAGTGTCAGAGTGTCCACAAGAGTGGTTTCACTGACTAAGAGCAGTTCCAGACTTTTCATTTATGGGGGACTTGGGGTTTGAAAGGAAGGGCTGGGGCACTTTTTGTAGCTCTTCCATAGGAAGCATATTTTCTTTGCTTAGAATGTAAGTTTATCTGTGGTGGCCAAGAGTCAGAACCCAAAGAAAGCCACATGGGAACAAAAGACCCCTCTCAAGTTGCCCGTTGAATATGACCTCTGACTTTGAAAGGAAAGACTAAATGAACTTTCCAAGAGCCTTCTGGTCCTCTGATTCTATTATGGGCAGACACAGTTATTGATGGCCTTCTAAGAACAAGGACAGGATAATTTTTAAGACCCTTTAAGCCTTCAGCCCTGAAATACAGCCTATAGGGCCCTCAAGGGGAATATTAACTTAGAGACTCATCATTTCAATGTGTTTACAGCCATCTGCTTTATGGAAAAAGAGGTGGGGGTTGGGGGCGGGAGGGAAGCCTGATGTGCTGATTAGATTTAGCATTTATGTTTCCCTTGCTTTAGCTGTTTACTGATAATTATTTTGGTTACTTGGGAACAAATCTTATAATCCTAGGCTGGCAAACACAGATGCAGATGGCTATGAATTACATGCAATAGGATGAGAATATGGCTCATGAATTTTAGCCTCTCACAACCGTGTAATCAGTGCTGAATTTGGTTAGGTTACAGCACATCCCCTGGGGGGAAAGAGTTGAAAACACTGAAACTTAAAAGGAGCAGCAGGAACACCACACAAGCTCCTTCTCCAAGGAGGGAAAGCACATACGCCATGACCAAAACAACAGCAATAACCAGTCCAGGATTAGAAAGCTGTCTCAAGATCTTAATTAGCCATGGCATCCACTCTTTTTTAGATTCTTTTCCCATGTAGGTCATTTAGCAGATTTCCCTGTGCTATACAGTAGGTCTTTATTAGTTATCCATTTTATATATAGTAGTGTGTATATATGTCAATCCTAATCTCCCGATTTATCCCTCTCCCCCAGGAGAAGACTTTTTAAAGTTATATTTCTAAGGTTTGGGTTACTTTGTGAATAAATATAGAAAATATGAATATATAAAGTAATATCCATCATGCAAAATTATTTTTCTCTGACTATGCATATAGATTTTGCTATGAAAATGTGTCATTTTAGGAAAAGATATTGAATTTTTTATCAGCAAATTGTAGGTATCATGAGAATAAAGTTTGGCATAACACTGAGTAGAATATTTTCATTTTCCTTTTATCCTTTGATCTTTATACATTCTTAACCTCTAAATAAACATGACCCATAAGTTCCAGATCAGATTTTTTTCTCTCCTGATCTAACTAACTGTATCTTTTAGTAGACTGAAAGTGACTTCAAGTGTCTTGTCAGGAGTCACTAGACTACAGAGATATAAATTTTGCTTCACAAACTATAGATCTACACACTAATTAGCAAAACCTATGATACATAAGAGGGAATGAAGCTTATTGACAATTTAAGATTATATCAACCTATCCCACCAAAGTTTATTTTTCCTCACCCATTCTAGCTGACCATGAATATGGAATATAGCCAGAGTGAGGAGACAGGCAGGGAGGACAAGAGAAGATAGAACAAGCCACCCCCCACCTTTCTCCAGCCTCTCAGGCTGTGGCTAATGAATATCAGACTGGGGAAACTGGAATTTTACAAAATCATTCTTATCCCTAAAGTCTTCTCTGCATCTAATGTATAAGAAATGTAAAGCTATTAGCATCTTTGAGGATTCTTGGATGCCTTTTCTAGGTTAGGTCTCTTACCAAGAGACCAGATCTTTTATTATACACAAACTTTAGAAACATCTACAAATCCCAGCAGTCCCTTTTTCTGACAGGTTAACCAAAATATGCCACTTTATCATATTCCCAGAAGTCTCTTCCACCCTGTTGTGAGTATACAGCTAAATGAAATGCTACTGAACTTAAATTTACAGCTCTCCTGGGCATAGCTCCATCCACCCCAGATTAAAATAGTCTATGTCTGTCTCTTCAGCCAGATGGAAAGGTCCACCTGACCATAATTGATGCCCAGCATACCCCTACATCTCCTCTAGTGCTTAATGCACAACAAACATTTTTCATTCATTAATTCAAATTACAGGCCAACACTCTACTGTGTTTGGACTTTTGAAATGAAAATATTCTGTCCCCAAGCTCTAGGGCTTCCTTTGTGGCTCAGCTGGTAAAGAATGTGCCTGCAATGCAGGAGACCGGGGTCCTATCCCTGGTTTGGGAAGATCCCCTGGAGAAGGGATAGGCTACCCATTCCAGTATTCTGACCTAGAGAATTCCAGAGACTGTATAGTCCATGGGGTCACAAAGAATTGAACACAACTGAGCAACTTTCACTTTCAAGCTGTAGATGTCAGCTACACTATTAAGAAAAATTGATACATCAAATGAGTAATGCAATAACAGTGTCATGATATACAATATAAACCTATACATATTATATGATCTCAGTTTGAAGTCTGCATAAAAAAGAACACCATAACACAAAATGCCAAAATGCTGAGTGTTGTTATTTCAGGTCTTTGGGGTTATGGCTAGTGTGTATTTTCATGTGAAAATATTTCTATAACTTCCAGGCTTTCTAGGATAAACACATGCTACCTTTGTAGCTAGATGAAAATACATAAAGTTATCATTACCATAACGTAGCAAGGAGATATGTGGGAACCTGTGTGTGTGTGTGTTCAGTCACTTCAGCCATGCTTGACTCTGCGACCCCATGGACCATAGCCCCTAGGCTCCTCTGTCCACGGGATTTTCTTGGCAAGGATACCGAAGTGGGTTGCCATTTCCTTCCCTAGGTGTGAGAACCTAGAGAACTAGAAATTGTTCAGGATTATTAGTGAGGATGCTATGGGGAGAAGCATCAAGTGTCAGGACATGTGGTAAAACAATTAGAAGAATTTTGTTCATCTGGACACCAAAGAAATCATTTTTTAGTTGCCAAACTGTTAAGGTAAATTCACTTCATGGCCTATTGGAATAATTTTCTGGAAAATTCACCCTCCCTGACCAGTTGTTATGAAACCAGAACAAGCAGAATATCTCATCAGATTGCTTTGCAGAATTGGTCTTCTAAGACATTGTAGTCATCTTACCTGAAAATGTGCATGCACTTGGGAGAGATTGGCCACGACCGTGTCCCCATTAATCTACCTCAAAGACATGATTATCAATTTGCTGCCCACCCAGGTGCCCACCCCTCTCCAGGCAGGCTGGGCAGACCACCTCAAACTCAGGACCCCTTAGGATGGCCAGCCATCAGGTTCCCACTATTACAAGCTTTCTCACCTCACTACCAAGGTAAGAAAATGCTTTCAACTTTAAAATCCAATGAATAAACCAAGTATACATTCTTTTGCTCCAGGAAAAGTAGACTAAATAGTACAGATATACCCCTGTCCCAATGCTACACTAAAAATATTTACATTTCCTTCTTGATCTCAAAATAGTCATAGGTATGACTATATATATAGTGACTATATATATATAAATGACTATGTATAGACTATATATATATAACTATATATACCTATATCTATATATATACCTATATATATAGATATAGATATAGATATATATACACACACACACACACACACATACTGTTAATTTGCCAAAGTTTGTTAATTTGCCAAAGTTTGCCAATTTGGAAACAGTTGGTCAAAATCAGATACCATTCCTTAGATACAGACCAATTTTTATTAATTAAAACAATAGTAATTCAATGTGATTTAAAGAGAAGAAGAAGAATTGGGCTTCAAAAGCTAAAACTGTGCAGTAACTAGCTCAATGATATTTTTAACATCAATGGCCATTTCTTACCACTGCCCAGCTCCATGTTGGCCTAGTAGGGTTTCCCCTGAAGACAGCTAAATTCCTTCAATTTTTCTGAGAAGGATCCACTTCCAATTAAAAAGTTAAAACTTATCCTGTATATTTAATTGTGTTGGTAATTTCCAATTAACTAAAATTTTTATGTGGCTCATCTGGAACTTTTCTATCCTGATCAGTTGCTTTCAAAACTGCAGTTTCACATTGAGCCTCCAGATGTCAGTGTTTGCATTATTTATTTCAGCCCACCTGGGTGGGGCAGGGAAACAGGACTTGTCAACTTCAGCTTTCTGAATATGTACGACAGGGCTCCAGCAGTTTTGGCTTAATCAGTAGGCTTAACGTTTTCTTTCTTTCTTTTCTAGTAAAGCAGTAACAACAGACTATTATTAAAATGAAAATATCTCTTTTATACTTAAGCCTGTAAGCAAGGAAATTTGACTTTAACAACTTGGTTCTGACGGGATGAAGGAGAAATTACTTATGTCCATTATTGCATCATGCTTGTCATTCACATGACTTTTCATATTCTCATTTCCTCACTGAAAGGTAGAAATAACTCAGATGCATGCTGATCAGTGACTCAACATGTGGAGATTCATGGGGGGACTTGTAGAATGAAATCAATCCTCCAGACCTGGAACCTTTGCTTTCTTTGTTAAGTGTCAAGGAGAGAACTCTGTCATAGAGAACTGTAGAGAAGCATATTTATAAGTTAAAGAGCCTTCTTGACTCTTTATTACTGACTTGAGTGATTTATCCTTGTTATTTGAGGAGAATATATATGAGGAGCATCCTTAAATTTTTTACAAGCATGTAGAATTTGGATTATAAATGATGTGACTCTCTTTATATACATTATTATCTAATAATGATCCCACTTCCTAAGTATCTTGTGGAGTAACCTTTCTTTCTTCCTCCTCCCCCCCACCTTCCTCCTTCCTTCCCTCCTTCCTTCCCTTCCTTCATTTCCTCCCTCTCTCTCGCCCCTTTATCCCTCATCCCTCCCTCCCTCTGACCCTTCCTTCCTTCCTCCCTTCCTTCCTATTTTTATTTTTTTCAATTAAGTGGTTTGTATTAGAAGTAATAGTAGTTTCCCAATGTCTGAATGAGATGCCTTAGCACCAAGAAAATGTTCACATCTAGAGTAGTGTAATCAAACCTTTCTCTTTGCAATCTCCTTACATGGAAATAGCTCAGATTCATTGTACATATTTCACGTGGGCAGAGCCTGAAGCAGTTAAATTACTTTCCCTTTTATGACTGCCAATGAAAATAGATGGATCTTGCCTAAGAATTTCCATGCCCCATACTGAGTCTGAATACCCCAAAGATATCATTCCTATAGACCAAAATGTCATTGTTTGGGGGAATAAAAATGATCGCTTATACAATGAGTGACCATATTTAACTCCACCTCTGAAAGAAAACTATGCCCAAAAGGAATCGCAAAGGTAAGAACCTGAAGGGGCCACAATCAAAAGATGGTGGGAGGGACACGATCATGTACAGGACGGGCATGGTGGACAGGAAGAGGATGAGCAAGAGCATTCCCAGGTAGAAGTTGTTCGATCTGGAAGCTTTGAAGACCCTGGCCTCAGGAACATTGCAACACATCACAGCCCAGCACTGGAAATACATGGATGTATGGAGCCGAAGGATATTGATGCCTGGGAGGCTGGGAGCGAAGAAGGAGCCCATCCTAGAAAGAAGAACAGAACTCTTCTCACCATAGAGCTTCACTCTACAACAAAGTCACCAAGCATCTGTTTATTTTACATCACGTTTATTTGCCAAGGGCAGAAATATATTGCCACTTTTATTCACATAAACCCTTTATGTTAATAAACTTAATTTATTTCCATGTCTTGTACACATTCTACCATCTTCCTGATTATTTCAGGTATTGCATATATGTCTTTCACAGAAACTATGTTGATCATTCACTATATCCACTTATCACTGGTAAATTCAAACAACAGACCAAACAATATATTACATTTGTTTTACTTCTCTCTTCTATTTCTAAAAACAGTTTACTTTACCTTAATGTTCATATCATTGATTAATATATCAAAAAATTTAGCTTCAAAAAAACTCTCCCCAAAAAATTAAAAATTAGCTTTTTTTATAAGTAACTCTTAAAGCTACCCATTATATTCAAATAAACTGCAAATGTGTGTTAATTATTTTTTCATGGCTAGTTAATCTTTACTTAATTAAAGAAAAAGTTAAAATAAGTTTTTCTTATGTTCGTTTCTATTTGTGGTGGTTATGGTATTTTAGAGCTGATGGGAATTGTGTATCTATGCCTAATAAGGTACTATGTTTTCTTGATATTCAGTTCCAAGCTTTACGTGTTTTTGAGATGAAAATTCGACACATCCATTTAATTTTGTTTATCTGTTTATTCTGTTTAGTTTGTCCTGGAAGTCCACCGATTTGTACATGCAATTTTTTTAAAAGTATTTTAAAATGCCACTTTCAAATAGGAACCATTTGGGTAAGGGCACTCTTAACTTACTGATTTCAGTGGTTATTTCAACAAAATAAATTCCAACTTCCATTGATGAGAAAATCCATCAGCACCATAAAGCCACATTAATGACAATTTATTAATCCAAAATCCAAAAGTGGATACATGTACACTTATTTCAGAAATACAAGCAGTGTCCTATCTTTTAAACTGTCCCAAATATAATAAAATCTAGCAATTTTAGTGAGGGTTTGCACATTCTATTTCCTGGTTACGTGGAATAATTGTTTTAATCAATCCAATATAGATTTGGTATATTATAAGGCAGAGACATTACTTTGTTAACAAAGGTCCATCTACTCAAGGCTATGGTTTTTCCAGTAGTCATGTATGGATGTGAGAGTTGGACTATAAAGAAAGCTGAGGGCAAAAGAATTGATACTTTTGAACTGTGGTGTTGGAGAAGACTCTTGAGAGTCCCTTGGACTACAAGGAGATCCAACCAGTCCATCCTAGTCCTGGGTGTTCATTGGAATGACTGATGCTGAAGCTGAAACTCCAATACTTTGGCCACCTCATGCAAAGAGTTGACTCATTGGAAACGATCCTGATGCTGGGAAAGATTGAGGGCAGGAGGAGAAGGGGACGGCAGAGGATGAGATGGCTGGATGGCATCACCAACTCGATGGGCATGAGTCTGAGTAAACTCCGGGAGCTGGTGATGGACAGGGAGGCCTGGCGTGCTGTGATTCATGGGGTCGCAAAGAGTCAGACATGACTAAGCAGTTGAGCTGAAGGCGTAAGGGGTTGAGTTAGATGAAAAAGTTATTTTCTGCTATAATTGAACTTGTGCAACCCAACATTAAACCATTTCATTGAAAAGTGATCATTTGTTACAGTTTGTGTTGTCTTGTTGGTAGGTTCCCAAACAACAGATCTGAAAAATATTTAAACATACTAAATTGACCAAAGACTTTGTAGAAAGATGGACTATTTTTTTTTTAAATGGTATGGACTTTGAGTAATGATGATTTGCCCATGTAGGTTCATCAGTTATAACAAAGGTACAGTATTGTGGAAGATGTCAACAGAGGCTGTGCAGGGGTAGGGGTAGGAGGTATATGGGAACTCTGCACTTTCCATTCAAAGTTGCAGTGAGCCTTCAACTTCTCTAAGATATAAGGTTCATTCGTTTTTTAAAAATGAAGGTCAACTTTGGAACAACAGGGAACCCCGGAAACGTTAGCAGGTGAATGAGTGACAGTCCCAGCTGAGGAGTCATAATTACAAAGCACTAGAATATATTCCCAAATGTCATTGTTTGTAATGCAACATACTTACAGATGATTATGTTTGCCCCCTCCGCAAAGTCAGGCTTAGCCACATGATTTGTTTTGGCCAGTAAATTAGAGATAAAAATGAAATGTCTCACTACTGGGTGAAAACTTTAATAACGCTATGGGGTTTTTGTTCTCTTCTCTCTCTACTGCTCTGACCAGTGATGCTCCAGAAGGATCCTGTTCTGTCCCAGTCTGTGAGTCTATAGTGAGAGTAACTTACAGGAGCAGAATCCTTTACCAACTCACATTTCACTGGAGTAAACAAGAAATAAACTTTTCCTTTTCTAAGTCGCTAAGATTTGGGGATTGTATTCCATTGGTACACAACTTAGTCGATCCTAAGACACGGTTTTGCACATAATTCAGGATGCAAACTTGCCTAATGTCACATACATGTGTATCTATACATAGGCATGTGTCATTTATTTCTATGCACACAAGTACACGTACTCATATATGTAAGTGCATATATAGGTAAATAAATTTAAGAATTTCACATGTAAATCCATGGGCTGATTCATGTCAATGTATGGCAAAAACCACTACAATATTGTAAAGTAATTAGACTCCAACTAATAAAAATAAATGGAAAAAAAAAGAATTTCAAAATAAATATCACACTGGCATTTTGAACAAATGACTCAAGAACATTAACCTAGAAAGAAAGACGCCAGCACAGTGATATCTGAATCTTAAAGCTCATTCCATCTTTGCCTGCTACTCACTAATCAGCTCAGCTCACTAAGTCCCTTACCCAGACCTGATCCCATCATCTGTCAGTTGAAGATCACTGTAATACCTTAGCCTTAAAAAATGCTTTTCTTCCAAGAAGATCAAAGCAAATGAAAGCTTCTTTTATTTAGCTCTCCTTGTTATTCTAGTGACATGGTACGTGTCAGGTAAATTACTCACATTTGATCAAGTGAGAAAATGAGACAGCAGACAGTGTGACAAGACTGGCAGGGAGATACAGCGGACAGTGTTGGAACAATGCCCAAACCCATCTTCTTTTTCACTGTGTGTTCTCTGCTACTGCTACATCCTGCTCTGATAGAGACATGATCGGCTTCCATCATTTAAAAATATGATCACAAAACCTGTGCTGTTTTAAAAATATGTGTGTAATATACTTTTAATGATCAGTTCAGTTCAGTCGCTCAATCGTGTCTGACTCATTGCCACCCCATGGACTGCAGTACCCCAGGCTTCCCTGTATATCACCAACTCCAGGAGGTTGCTCAAACTCATGTCCATCGAATTGGTGATGCCATCCAACCATCTCATCCTATGTCACTACATTCTCCTGCATTCAATCTTGCCCAGCATCAGGGTCTTTTCTAATGAGTCAGTTCTTTGCATCAGGTGGCCAAAGTATTGGAGTTTCAACTTCAGCATCAGACCTTCCAGTGAATATTCAGGACTGATTTCCTTTACAATTGACTGGTTTGATCTCCTTGCAGGCCAAGGGACTCTCAAGAGTATTCTCCAACACCACAGTTGAAAAGCATCAATTCTTTGGTGTTCAGCTTTCTTTATAGTCCAACTCTCACATCCATACATGACACTGGAAAAACCATAGCTTGCACTAGATGGACCTTTGGCAGCAAAGTAATGTCTGTGCTTTTTAATATGCTGTCTAGGTTGCTTATAGCTTTTCTTCCAAGGAGCTGATACTGATCATATTAGCCAATTCATAACAAAATGGATTTTACCTATGACTTTTTGACAATTGTTTATATCTGTGTAAATCGCCTTCACTACTCAGAAACTTCTAAAGCAGTTATTGAATGTCTCCAGTCACAAACTAGTAATATTGAACATAAAATCTCCATACTCTTTCAACCGTTTCTGTAGAAAATGGCCAAATTTGGGTATCAGATCTTTATGCCTCATAAAATAGTGTGAGTACAAGGGAGTCTACTAATCTTGGACTGCACACTCCCCACACCACATCCATACCCCCTCACCAATGTTCTGGGAGGGAGGAAAAGACCATTTGTACAAAGGGTTGACCCAAAAGTGAATGATAGTTTTTTGCTTCTAGAACTCTGCGAAGCATGTAAATGTTTTATACACTCAAAAAACAGAATCACTTTCTAAAGTCCTCTTCAAACTAACCAGAAGCAAGATTTGACCAATAATTGAAGGATGAATATAGAAAAAGTGATAGTGTAATGGTACTGCAAAGATTCTGATGATGGTCCTTAACAAAATTCTAGCAAACAGAATCCAACAACATATTAAAAAAATCATACACCATGACCAAGTGGGCTTTATCCTAGAAATGCAAGGATTCTTTAATATCCGCAAATCAATCAATGGAAATTCTAATTTTTTTTAATCATCAGCAATTCACTTTAAAGACATAGTGTTAGAATAATGAGAAGGAAATTAGTGGAGTTAGAAGTCTTAGATTTCAGTCCTACACTAAACACTCAGCATGCTGGGTGCCTGGGCAAGACATTGTATTTACAGGGCATGTTCAAGTATCTGTAAGAGCTTTTCTGACACTCAAAGTTGGTACTAGTGCATCAAACAGGGCCCTTGACCTTATACCCCTCTGCCATTTAATTTTATTTTTTTAGCTGCTCAGCTCCAAGGATCTTAGTTCCCCCACCAGGGATTGAACCCATGCCCCATGAAGTGGAAGTGCAGAGTCTTAACCACTGGACTGCCAAGGAAGTCCTCTCCCTCACCCCCCACCATTTAACTCTTAGAGAAATAAAACTATGAAATGATATATAAGGAATTTAAAAAAATTATCTTCAATTATATAGGGGACATAGTGAATTTAGCCAGATTTTTAATTTTTAATTGGAGTATAGTTGCTTTACAATGTTGTGTTGGATTCTGCTCTACAACAACGTGAATCAGCTTTAAGTATACAGACGTCCCCTTCTTCTTGAGCCTGCCTCCCAGCGCCCACCCCATTCCACCCCTCTAGGTCATTACAGAGCACTGAGCTGGGCTCCCCCTGTTAAACAAGCTACTTCCCACTAGCCATCTATTTCATACATGGTGGTGTATCTATGTCAATGGTATGCTGTCAGTTCATCCCACCTTCTCCTTTCCCCCGCTGTACTCACAAGTCAACTCTCTATGTCTGTGTCTCTATTCCTGTCCTGCAAATAGGTTCATCAGTACCATTTTTCTAGATTCCATATGTATACATGCATTAATGAGGATTCCCTCGTAGCTCAGTGGTAAAGAATCTGCCTGCCAATGCAAGAGACTCAGGGTTGATCCCTGAGTTGGAAAGATCCCCTGGAGGAGGAAATGGCACCCTATTCCAGTATTCTTGCTTGGAGAATTCCCTGGACAGAGGAACCTGGTGGGCTACAGTCTATGGGGTCAAAAAGAGTCAGACACAACTGAGCAAGGAACACTTTTACCTCACTTTATACGCTANACGGGCCCCAACACAGGATGATGGAACCCTTGACTTTAGTTTATTTAAGCAAGATCATTTTAACATTTACAGAGAGGTCTGCTTTCACAACTGTTTAACAGTTCAGACTAGCTGTGGTTGTAGGAGTTGAGTAATACATGCTGCTAAGTCACGTCAGTCGTGTCCGACTCTGTGCGACCCCACAGACAGCAGCCCACTGGGCTCCCATCCCTGGGATTCTCCAGGCAAGAAATTGGAGTGGGTTGCCATTTCCTTCTCCAGTGCATGAAAGTGAAAAGTGAAAGTGAAGTCGCTCAGTTATGTCCGACTCTTTGCGACCCCATGGACTGTAGCCTACCAGTCTCCTCCGTCCATGGGCTTTTCCAGGCAAGATTACTGAAGTGGGGTGCCATTGCCTTCTCCAAGTAACATATGAAGCTCATGCAAAACTGACCCCAGTAACTAGCATATGTACTTAGGACAACGGTGTGATCACTGGCACAATTATTTGTCCTGTGTCAATGGGATAAGGAAGCTCAGTTATGACTGCTTGTTGGTTGATATGTTAGTTAAGAGTGACAGATTTTCAAGACACATGGTCCCCAGATGAATTTCCTGCTATGATGCAATTTTTTATAGTCAAAAATGTTTTCTACTGTATCAACTCATCTTAACCTGTCAGGATTTACAGTGAAAATGCTTTCATTTAATAAAAGATATGACAATCTTTTGTATATCAGAAGAAATAATTTTGATGTGCAAATGGCCCCATGAAACAAGTTACCAAAAAAGAAAAAAAACATATTTCTAACTAAACCTTCCTAAAACATGTGTTTCATCTCTATCAAGTATTGAATTCAGTAAGGTAATATTTTTTTAAAGTAGCTATAAATTGCATTTAAAATATATTCAATAGTGACCACAAATAAGTTTCTCAGAAAGGTCTTATATTAATTTCTTTCATTCTTAACATGCAGTCATGAGGTCATTAATGTTTCACTGTGAGATCCCAGTGTCACAAGACATAAAACTATAAAAAGCATTCAAATAATCTAGAAGCCAGAACCTAGACTCCCAGTATTTGATGAAAAAATGTGCTCTGCAAAACAGGCAGATGCCTTATAGAAATAAGACTTCAAATCTGGGCAGAAAAGTAAACTTTACATAGCCATTCACTCTGAAAAACACATGCTGAGTTAGGCACTGATCGTGGACTTCTCTGACACCAGGCTACAGTGCTTTGTGCAATAATGATCTTGCAGGCTTGTTTCAAGTGATGAATTGTCCACAGTTGGCTTACCAGATCATTCCTTGATTGAAGATCAGAGCAAGGACATTGCCGCTGATGTCAAACTCAGTGTATGAAGGCTAGAGGAGATAGATATTCACAAATGGATTAGCATCTCAAATGGCAAAAATTGAAAGGTAAGTTTTTCATATTTTTATATAAGTATGATTAGACTCTCAACTACTTTATAGAAGCAACAACAGCAGAATAATCAATATAATAAATAACTAGCAATAAATAAAATAAGGCATCCTTTTTAACACCCCAAGACTCATTTTTAAATGCTATCGTTTGATGCTGTGGAAGTGTGGTAAGACAGGTTCTCATACATTGCTGGCAAAGGTAAAACTTGGCATACATTTATAGAAAACAATTTGACAATATCTGATTCTCTTTGACCCTGTAAATTTACTTCCAGAAATTTGTTTTAATAAATTAATCCTTAATGCTGACAAACTTTAAGAAGCAGAGATGAAACCATCTAAATGTGCAACATTGGATAAGTTAAATACAGTATAACTATGCTATGGTATATATTGCAGCTAATTACAATCACTGTTGGAAGGATATTTATATACCTAAGAGAAAAACTATGCTGTAAGGTTAAACAAAAAATATGTAAACATTATTTTTTCAACTCAATACAGAACTATGCATAAAGAAAAAACTTAAAAGTGATCACTATATTAATAGTTGCTATATGTAGGTGATGGATTATACCTTATTTTCTTAAATTTTGCATACTTAAAATACTTTTCAACAAAAAATGTGAATTTCTTTTACAATAAAAAAATAGAGCTAGAGATACAACAAAGTTAAAGAAGTTATTCAACTCAATGCCCAGTGTTCATATCCTAGATAATACCATCATGTTCAGGGCAACAGCACTTGGTTGTTCTTTGTATGCAGACACCACCAACTGGAAGTGAGCTGGGCATCTCAGCCCAAAGGTTTCCTTGTGACACATTAGGCATCTTAGAAGGAAAACTCTACCCATGGAGTAATGCTAGTTAGCCACAATAAAGCTGGCTCCGTTTAATTTTATATAGGGAATAATCAATCAGGAAATTGACTAATTGGTAACAAGAGAAGAAGAGAACAGTAAAAAATATAAAGTGAGAGGAGCATGAAGACAGAGTAATAGCGTGGCAGGACCCAATTATGGCCCCAGATCCTGACATCAGCAGATGTGGCTTCAGACCATGTGTATCCTCACAATAACTCCCTCCTCAGCACGTATATATACATACACACACACACGTGCACGCATACACACACACATACACACAGAGATAACCTGAGAGTGTCTCGTTCTTCTTAAACCCAAGAGTCCAAAAATATGTTTGTAAGAAGACAGAATAGGTCTCTGATTTGGAACCCCAACAAATCTTTCACAAATTTTGAACACTCTGCCTCAAGAATTCTTGAATTCAGGCATCAACTTTGTCACCTCCCCAAAGGCAGCAGTACTCTCCTAGTTAACTGAAAGATACGGACGATGTGCCTCGTGACAGATTCAGGGAGTAAACGGCAAATCTGACATAACAAGAATGGTTAAATAGCAAGATATAATAATAATACGATGCATAATGAAATAATAAATAACCCTATATATTTGGCAGGACAAAGATGACAGAGGATTTCAAGGTAAGTTCACTAAAGATATTACTAAAGAATATACAGAGTGTTTCACTTAGTTTGCAGATGGAGAAGCTTAATGAAAGATGCAAAGAGGTTCAGTTGACAGTTTTTGTTCTAAAATCAACAACGAGGAAAGTGTGGTTTTCATGGAAAAATGAAGATGAATTTGCTCCTAATCTGGAGAAAAGTTAGCTCTGAGTCTTTCTCTTTTTCAGGAGCCCTTTGCTCTGCATCAACTTCCCTTTTCTCCGGGAGCCCTGTGAGGTCACACAACACATGTGACAAATGCTCAGTCGGCGGCCTGAGCCATCTGTGGCCTTGAAACAGCTCCTCTCTGTGTCCATTTACGAATCAAACCTTCAACCTTGACCTCTTTAGAAGAGTGTCAGATTTAGCCCACCAAACTGAGGAAAATGAAAAAAATTCAAACGTTCAGAAGTACATTTCTTTTATTTTCATAAGCACACAAACCTCTTAAAGGCCATTTGAGATGAGATATTTTTATAACCAAGTGACTAGAAAACCACAAAGGACACACGAGGAACCCCTGGCTTCATACTGTGTGTGCAGAAGGGGCAGCTGAAGGAGTGACATCTTTGATGCATACATTGATTAACTCGATTCAGAGAAGGGTAGAGGGCCCCTACTGTACCAGCGGGTTTGTGGTAAAGACACTCGCCTGGGATTCGGATCCTAGTATGAGACTTTGCCTGCCGTTTCCTAGCTGGGTGAGCTGAGCCAGCCACTGATTAATTCAGGCCTCAGTTTCCTCACAGATAGATTGATGGAATGAACTAGATCAGGGTTGGCACATTACGGCTTAGGAGCCAAATCTGGCCACCACCAATTTTTGTGGATAAAGTTTTTTTTAGAACATAGCTGCATTATGTATTGTCTATTGCTGCTTGGGGGTGAAAACAGGAGTTTAATAGGTACAACAGAGGCCATATCGCTTGATGCAAGGAAAATCACTCATTTTCCTCTATGACTACACTTATTCATGATACTCCCCCCACCCCCACTCCCGCAAACCAAGCATTTCTCTCTGTAGACATCAACTGAATGTCCTACAATTTAACTCAATTCCGACACTAACAGACCCCATAGGTTAAGGTCTCATTCTCACAAGACCCATTGATTGAAAGCTCAGGTTGTCATCTATGCTGACTGGAGATTCCCATGTCTCCCTCCTCAGGTTTGATCATTTGCTAGAACAGCTCACAGGTCTCAGGAAAACTGTTTACTAGATTACTGGTTTATTATAAAAGGATACAACTCAGGAATAGCAAGTTAAAAAAAAAAAAGATGCATGGGCAAGGTGCAGGGAAAAGAGTACAGTGTTTCTTTGCCTTCTCCAAGTGCACCCTCTTCCCAGCCCCTCAGTACATTCAGCAACCTGGAAGTTCTCCAAACCCCAAGGTTCAGAGATTTTTATGGAGACTTCATCACATGGACAAAACCAATCATTAACTCAGTTTCCAGCCTCTCTCCTTTCTCTGGTGGATGGGGAAATTAGGTTGAAATTTCCAAGGTTCTAATTATGGCCAGGTCTTTTGCTCACCAGCCTTCTATCCAGGAGACCACCAGGAACTGCCTTATTGGAACAAATAATGCTCCTATCATCCAAGATATCCAAAGGAATTTAGGAACTCTGCATCAAGAGTCAGGGCTAAAGACCAAATATAAGAATACAAGATGTTTTAGCACCTTCAATCTTAGGAAACTACAAAGATTTTAGGAGCTCTGTCCAAGAACTGGGATGAAAACCAAAATATATTTCTTATTACATCACAATAACATACTTGCAGAAGTGAAAATACTTACTATGTAGTCTTTTACAGAGGAAGTTTGCTTACTTCTAGATAATTTCTAAGATCCTTTTCTAATCTAAAATCTGTTATTGATTGATTCAGTTATTAAGGAATTGCTTCTCTCTAAGCACCTTAAAAATGGAATTTATATTCCATGTATTAAATTCAGAAATCCACACTTTAAAAACAGAACAAATGTAAGAAAGCAAACACATACACACAGAGTGTAAAATTCAAGGCTCATTCTTTTCAAGGTGAATTTTTTTTTAAATATGAGATAACATTATAGTTTCATTTTTAAGCCAATGGATTCATGAGTGTAAAGCAATTTGCAAAGTTTGCCTCTAAAATACAAAAAGGTTAAAAGTAAATGATGCTTGAGGAAAAAAAAAACAGGTTTTCTTAAAACCCAAGATAACAAAATGATTCAAAAGGAATAAATGTAAAGAAGTCTCTAAGGGCTGCTCACCTGTAATAAGATTTTTAGGAACTAGCAACAGGAGAACCTACTTGGATTTGGGTTGAGGTCCATAATAGTCAAGGAACTAGAAATTATCTTGCTTTATTTTTAGACCTTTGTTTGCAGTGGGCTAGAGTCAGTTAGCTACCCAGAAAGAAGACGTATGGTGCTCACTGGACTAAAAAGTCTGAGAAAATCCATTCTCTCTCGGCAAGTTTAGTTATTTCTGGAAAATCATCAACCTCTGGATATTGTGAAATGAAATTCAGGATCTCAGAGGCAGTTCCGTCATTGCAGTGACCTGCCTTTCTTCACACAAATCTCATCCCCCACAGCTGGAATCACCGTGCTGAGAGCTGCAGGCTGGCCTGGCCGAGGGCTCTGGGCAATGGTAAGGAATGGTGGTCCCCAGACCATCCACAGCATCAACACCTGGGACGTTCTTAGTAAATTCTCGGGCCCCACCCAGATCTACTGAATCAGAAACTCTGTATTTTCATGTGCCTTCAGAGTACTCGGATAGATGCTCAAATTTGAGAACTACTAACCTAGGACAAATCCAAGGCTCATCTTCTAGGATAATTCAGCACCTCAGGGCTTCGTACTCTAACCCTCACTGCCTGCAGACAGATTCCACCCAGCCCAGCCTGTTCTTGGCCATTTGCGCATGTTCTCATCCCCTCACTGGGGACCCATGACTTCTTACTGACTCTTAATCATACCCTCTTCCCTGGACCCCTGAATAGTATCTCACTCCCAGATAAGGAATATCTCCCTATCTCCTAATTCTGCATCCCAGCTCCTCCTGCCAATTCCATTCTACAGCAAGAAACCTGTTTAAACATTTGAGTAACAAATGCCATGGATTGGCTCGTGAATTAGTCATGCTTTGGCAGAGTCCTTGATGTTTCTAGGGGTAAGCACTACAGCAAAAATTCAATATGATGGAAGGCTGGTTCATGGCCTTGAAGTCAATCAGATGTGGGTTTCAGTCCTAGCTCCAACACTGACCAGTTAAATTGTCTTTGAGCAAATTATTAAGCATCTCTAATTCTCAGCTTACTGTAAAGGAGGAAAATATCTACTTCATAGTGTTGCTGGCATGATTATACTGAATAACACATGTATTTTGTAGATGTGCTAACACATAGTAAGCACTACATAAAAATATAATACAGTGTAATATAACTAGGAATATCCTCTGATGGTCTGTGAATCATATGCCTCTTATTTATAGGTAATCTAGTACTCCCTTCATCAGATCTCAGGGAAATCTCCCATATTTTCCACTTACATAAAGTGGAATTTAATGAGGACCACCTTAAAAATGTAACTTTAAATAAGACACTGAGGTTTTAATTTGATTGAATATACTCTTACCTCATGCCATATATTCAATCCATGTCTTCCTGGATGCTCTTTACTTACTTCATTGACAAATGGCAAGGATGGTGTCAACATAAATTAAAGTGAGAGTAGTGTTGAACCATTATAGAAAATCCAGTTTACAAGAGGCCTCAGGGTGATTTTGCTGAATCAGAGTGGTTAAAATTCTTTCTGTGAGCAAAGCATTCCACTTCCATGAGCCAGTGAACTCTTTAGAAACATTGAGAACCATCTGCTATGCTCAGAGAAGCCTTACAGAAAGATTAACTTACATTACATGGTCTAATAGTCTGCTCCTAGCCAGTAATTTTCCTACCTCGATTCATCCTCATAGGTTTTTTGTGATGATACTTTGGCTGTGAATTTACAACTGGAAAAATATATAGGGTCACTTTAAACCCAATTTACTCAGATTTAATCAGTATGCAATTCAGTATACTAAACATAATGACTTCTCCAAAAAAAAACAAAACAAAACACTTCATTGTCCTTATTTATCCTGACTAAATAACTTAAGAAACTCACTTCAATTCACAGACTCTTGATTTTTTTAATGGGCAAAATAAAAGCATTATGACTTATTTTGTCAAAATTTCACCTAACCTTAACATTTTATGGATCTCTGTGTCTAATGCTGGAGTCTGCAGAGTTTACCTTTTATAGAGGTTAGTTGTAGAAAAAGTGAATGTACTTTTTCAAAAATATCTTCTCTATGACTGGGCAATTTAATTTAGAGAAATTTCTGATAAGAAAATAATTTGTGCATACTACTACAATTTATCTGTGGAGATATTTATCTACATGGATATAAATAAATGTGACCACAATATTTATTATAATAACAAACCACTGGGTACAATTAACTGACAACAAATAAAAAATAGCTAATTATAGTAAATTCATATGTAGACTCACACACAGTCATTTAAAAATTATAAAAGACCAGTTAATAACATGGAGAAAGATCACCATTAGGTGAAAAATGCAAGTAACTAGTCAATAAGATACATGCTTATATGTATTTACAAAAATCTATAGTAAAACATATAAATATACAGTACATGTTTATCCATACCTAAATAAATATTAATACTCTACAAGTCAATGAAGTAATGTCCTGAATGGTAGGATAACCTGTGATTTTTATTTTCATATTAAGTTTCTATTACCTTTTACAGACTTTTTAACAATGAACTGGTATTATTTTTAAAGTTCAGAAAAAAAATTTCTTTAGTAGCAGAAATGGACATCTTTTCTCTCTCATTCCTGAAAGGATTCTTAAAAGCATCTCCTCTGCCCATCTCAGATTCTCCTTTGCTTCAAGACAGGTACTTTCTGGACTCATATTGCCAATCAGTAAGTCCAGAAGATCGGAGAAGCATTCTCATCATTCTCTTCTTCTCTAAAGCAGCACCATTTTAGATTCTGCATCTCTATCTGCACTGTCCATACTTGCTAGCTGCTGGGCCCTGCCTTCCATCAGTTCGTCCACTGAGAATGCTTTCTTCCATCTCAATCTTTTGAAATTTTGATTCTTCTTAAAGATTTGGCTCAAATGTTTCTTACTTCATTCTGTCTTTGCATTTCTATTGATCTCTCCCTCACAACCCCAACAGAAGTCATGGTGTCTCCAATGTGCAATTACATTGTAAGAGCAAGCTATTACATTTCCTGCTCTTTGCTGACAAGGGAGGCTTGTAGCAGAGTGTGAAGAATTGGTGAATGAATATTTCACCAAAAGAGGGCAGCTCTTGCCAGTTTCTCCAGCATGGGAATATGGGCCTTTCAATATGTCAGGAAAAATAAGAAATCCATATTTTTTAAATATAAAGCCCCGAGCTTTAAAATATTAGCTCATTTAAAAAAAGAAAGAAAGAAACAATACTGCAGACCAGAATAAAAATATCTGTCAGCTGAATCTAGCCTGCAGGCCCACATTTGCTACTTCTCCTTAGGCTTACAACTTTTACATCTCTGTATCCTCTTATCAGCTGGCACAGAGGTTTGCTCATGATAGTTTGTGACTAGCAGGCACTCAGCTCTGTAAACTATCCACTTGGTGGGTCAGTGATAATAAAATCCATATCAAAGATCCAGCATCCAACCTTAATGTTTCAAAACATGTTTCACTGCTGAGTTTCTCTCTGATGAGCCTTCCAAAGGTAACATGGAAGAAAATTCACTTGCTGTGACCTCAAACAGGAATGTCTGTTTTCCTATACTTCATACTAACCCAAGAGCACTGTCAGCACTCAATAAATAATAAATTAGTCATTTAATTACTGCTTTTATGCATCCAGGTCATGTTATATTGACTTCATATTTGAAGCAAAATTTTCTAGCACTTAAGAAGAAAGAAGTCAGGGATAAAAGGCAAGCATAAGCCTAGTGATGGTCTAAGAAAGAAATGGCAATTTTTATGCCTGCTTCAGAAGAGCTGAATCAGGCCAAGAAAATAGAAATGAAACCAAGCCAGCTGAATACTTCACAGTGGAGAGGGGGGAAACAACACAAGAGCATCCTGGATCTATAGCATTACCTCACCATCATCTACCAAACAACACGACCTTCTGGCTCCACTAAAGAAGCACTTTCCGGAAGAAAGACAGAGATGACCTCATAAAAGGTACAGTCTCAAAGTCAGGTAGAGGATCTAGCCTGGAGTCTTGAAAATAGTTCTGAATATAGGACTTGATCAGAAACTAGAGGGCATGAGACAAGAAGACCAGCAGGGAAGAATATCCCTTCACTGCGGAGAAGAGAAACATCATTAGCTCAAGAACACTAGGGCAGAACTTGACTCCAGGGCACATCCCTGGAAGCAAGCAGAGTTCTGTCAGCAGACAGTGTGGCCTTAATGGTGCTGAAATGTGGAGGTTCAACACTGAGTCAGCCAGTCAAAATAACTCCTGCTATGTGACAAGCACAGCTCAAAGCTTGAGGTCAAGGCCTCCGTTTTGAGAAAGCTTTCATTGCAACAGAGGGAGACAGATAATAAGCACTTTCAAAACAGAAGATGTCAAGTAGTTATACAATGTATAGAGAAAATAAAACTATGCTGAAACAGAGAGTGCCTGATGGGCCACCTTAGATTGGAAGGTCAGAGAAAAGTTTGAAGGAGGTGACTTATAAGCTGAGTCCTTAATGACAAGAATCAGTGCCGGCAAATTCTAGGAAACTGCGCCCCCAGAAGGAAGAACAGCTAGGGCAGATGCAAGGAGCATCTGTGTTTGAGCATAACCAAGATCCCCAACGTTTATGGATTTTACAAAGCAAGAGCAAAGGCGGTAGAAGATGAGTTCAGAGGGGAAAAAAGCAGATCACAAAGGGTATTGATGGCCCTGGACAGAGACTCGAATTCATTCTAAATATTTAGAAATCACTGGAAATACTTGAGCAAATAAGTACTATCAACTCCTCAGGTCCTGTTTCCCAAGATAACAAGTTTCATGTGCAAAAGGAGGACACAGAGATGTGTGTTCTGCTACCACTCTCAAACTTTGTGGAGGAATCTGGCGTTGAACAAAGACGGGGTTAATAATGGAATCAACACCAGTGGGGCTCAGAGAAACCTGTGCTGTTGCTATGGGGAAGCAAATCAACTTGCTGGATTCTACTCCACCACTTACCAGAGCCCAAGCAGCACCCTGGGCCTTTCACAGCCCCCTGCTGAGCCTCTGCTGAGCGCTTATTAGACTGTGAGCTTTATGAGGCAAGCAGCATATTCACTGATGCCTTCATCCCCCAGTGTACTGCACAGTGATGCACTTGATAAGTGTCCAGGAGCTTGCTTAGTAGAATTCAAAGGAATTCACAGAAAATGTCCAGCTGATGCTACTCATCTTGCCCTGCTTCTAGAAATGCCAGCAAACTTCATGGGGAGGATACAGACTGTGGGCCCAAGATTTACTGAGCTCACCAATTTAACAGATAGGTTGAAGTCACTGCTTTAGCCACCTATAATTTTACTAGAATCTAATTTTGTTAGACTACTGCAAGCCATGATATTCAAGTCTTATCAATTCCTTCTGAATTATAAGTGTCCTCATTGGTCTTTGCTTATTGACATCTGAAAGACCATCTTACCTCCTAATTTTTCTTTTTTCATTGTATGTATAAATGATGAGTCTGATAAGAGAAAGATGAAGATCACACTTACATATCCGTATTCCAAATCCCAGCACCAGCAGTAGTTGCAAAACCTCACAAAGCATGCTCGGAGAAAGTCCCCAATGAGAATTGTAACATAGGTGGTCAGAACATCAGAGACAGTCAGTCGCACAAATTCCTGTTGAAATAGTATGCGTATTAAAACAAGCATTTTTCCCTTCATGTAGTCCTAAAGTTGACATCGAATTTGTCATGCTTTCTTAACAGCATTAACTTGAAACTGCAACCAATGGTAAAGAAACTAATTAGGCATATCGAGCCAGTGAAAAAAGTTTCAGCCTTATTTTATTATTTTAAAAATAATTACTTCCTGTGCCCAAACCACTGGATCAAACGTCTTTCTATTGAGAAACATTTACAAGCATGATACAAGAACACAAAACAGGAAAATACTGACAACACGGAAGTTTAGCAGTTTAATCTGACAAGCAGTGCTATTTATAAAATTAAAAGACAAACTTGAAAAAAGTACTTGTATCATATATGATAGAGGACTAGTTTTTCTAACACATTAAAAACTTTTACAAATCAGTGCAATAGATGGGCAATTCAATAAGGAAAAGAATGGCAAATGGCACATACAAAAAATAAGAAAATATACAATTAATTAAAACATTCAAAAGTATTTCATTCCTTACAAAAATAAAAAAAGGGCTTAATTCCTTATAAAAATACAGTTGTTACTTTACACAGTGATAAATATTTTAAAACCCATGCTCTTCCATATTGATGAGAGTATGGTGAAAACAGGCACTGTCATAAACTGATGGGGAAATTAGACTGCTGCATCATTTGCAGTGGGGCGAGGGGGCAGGACTTTTAAGAATCATCCTGTTGTAAAGTGTGTGGCATCTGATCAAGAAAATCCACTTTTAGAAATGTATCTTACAACAAGTGTCCAACCTATATAATTGTGAAAGCATTGTTTCTCCCAGATCAAAATTGGAAACAATTTAAATACACTCAAGAGGAAATAAAATAAAAATGGATGTCAACACAATGAAATACTGTGAGCTCTTAAAAAACAAATGCTATTGTGATTAACAATGTAAATGTATACTAAAAACCACTGAAATGCCTTCTTTAAAGTACATGCAACCTTCTCAGACAGCATGCACTGCGTTCTTGTACTATCTGTTGTTGCTATTATTTGTAAATGTTATCAGTTCAGTTCAGTCACTCAGTCATGTCTGACTCTTTGCAACTCAATGGACTGCAGCACGCCAACCTCCCTGTCCATCACCAACTCCCAAACTTTACTCAAACTCATGCCCATTGAGTCAGTGATGCTATCCAATCATCTCATCCTCTGTTGTCCCCTTCTTCCTTCTGCCTTCTATCTTTTCCAGAATCAGGGTCTATTCAAATGAGTCAGTCCTTTGCATCAGGTGGCCAAAGTATTGGTGTTTCAGCTTCAACATCAGACCTTCCAATGAATATTCCAGACTGATGTCCTTTAGGATTTACAGGCTGGATCTCCTTGCAGCCAAAGACCTCTCAAGAGTCTTCTCCAACATCACAGTTCAAAAGCATCGATTCTTCAGCAGTCAGCTTTCTTTATAGTCCAACTCTCACATTCATACAAGACTACTAGAAAAACTATAGCCTTGACTAGACGGACCTTTGTTGGCAAAGTTACGTCTCTGCTTTTAAATATGCTATCTAGGTTGGTCATAAGTTTTCTTCCAAGGAACAAACATCTTTTAATTTCATGGTTGCAATCACCATCTGCAGTGATTTTGGAGACCCCAAAAATAAGTCTCTCACTGTTTCCCTGTCTGTTCGCCATGAAGTGATGGGACCAGATGCCATGATCTTAGTTTTCTGAATGTTGAGCTTTAAGCCAACTTATTCACTCTCCTCTTTCACTTTCATCAAGAAGCTCTTTAGTTCTTCTTTGCTTTCTGCCATAAGGGTGACATCATCTGCATATCTCAGGTTATTGATATTTCTCCCAGCAATCTTGATTCCAGCTTGTGCTTCATCCAGCCCAACATTTCTTATGATGTACTCTGCATATAAGTTAAATGAGCAGGGTAACAATATACAGCCTTGACGCACTCCTTTTCCTATTTGGAACCAATCTGTTGTTCCATGTCCGGTTCTAACTGTTGCTTCCTGACCTGCATACAGGTTTCTTAACAGGCAGGTCAGTGGTATGGTATTCCCATCTCTTTCAGAGTTTTCCACAGTTTATTGTGAGCCACACAGTCAAAGGCTTTGGCATAATCAATAAAGCAGAAATAGATGTTTTTCTGGAACTCTCTTGCTTTTTCGATGATCCAGCGGATGTTGGCAATTTGATCTCTGGTTCCTCTGCCTTTTCTAAAACCAGCTTGAACATCTGGAAGTTCACGGTTCACGTATTGCTGAAGCCTGGCTTGGAGAATTTTGAGCATTACTTTACTAGCGTGTGAGATGAGTGCAATTGTGTGGTAGTTTGAGCATTCTTTGGCATTGCCTTTCTTTGGGATTGGAATGAAAACTGACCTTTTCCAGTCCTGTGGCCACTGCTGAGTTTTCCAAATTTGCTGGCATATTGAGTGCAGCACTTTCACAGCATCATCTTTCAGGATTTGAAATAGCTCAACTGGAATTCCATCACCTCCACTAGCTTTGTTCGTAGTGATGCTTTCTAAGGCCCACTTGACTTCACATTCCAGGATGTCTGGCTCTAGGTGAGTGATCACACCATCGTGATTATCTGGGTCATGAAGATCTTTTTTGTACAGTTCTTCTGTGTATTCTTGCCACCTCTTCTTAATATCTTCTGCTTCTGTTAGGTCCATACCATTTCTGTCCTTTATTGAGCCCATCTTTGCATGAAATGTTCCCTTGGTATCTCTAATTTTCTTGAAGAGATCTCTAGTCTTTCCCATTCTATTGTTTTCCTCTATTTCTTTGCATTGATCACTGAGGAAGGCTTTCTTATCTCTCCTTGCTATTCTTTGGAACTCTGCATTCAAATGGGTATATCTTTCCTTTTCTCCTTTGCTTTTCGCTTCTCTTCTTTTCACAGCTATTTGTAAGGCCTCCTCAGACAACCATTTTGCTTTTTTGCATTTCTTTTTCTTGGGGATGGTCTTGATCCCTGTCTCCTGTACAATGTCACGAACCTCCGTCCATAGTTCATCAGGCATTCTATCAGATCTAGTCCCTTAAATCTACTTCTCACTTCCACTATATAATTGTAAGGGATTGTATTTCGGTCATACCTGAATGGTCTAGTGGTTTTCCTGACTTTCTTCAGTTTACATCTGAATTTAGCAATAAGGAGTTCATTATCTGAGCCACAGTCAGCTCCCGGTCTTGTTTTTGCTGAATGTATAGAGCTTTTCCATCTTTAGCTGCAAAGAATATAATCAGTCTGATTTTGGTGTTGACCATTTGGTGAGGTACATGTGTAGAGTCTTCTCTTGTTTTGTTGGAAGAGGGTGTTTGCTATGACCAGTGCATTCTCCTGGTAAAACTCTATGAGCCTTTGCCCTGCCCCATTCCATACTCCAAGGCCAAATTTGCCTGTTATTCCAGGTGTTTCTTGACTTCTTACTTTTGCATTCCAGTCCTCTGTAATGAAAAGGACATCTATTTGGGGTGTTAGTTCTAGAAAGTCTTGTAGGTCTTCACAGAACTGTTCAACTTCAGCTTCTTCAGCATTACTGGTTGGGGCACAGACTTGGATTACTGTGATATTGAATGATTTGCCTTGGAAATGAACAGAAATCATTCTGTCATTTTTGAGATTTCATCCAATGTACTGCATTTCAGACTCTTTTGTTGACTAAGAGGGCTATTTCATTTCTTCTAAGGGATTCTTGCCCACAGTAGTAGATATAATGGTCATCTGAGTTAAATTCACCCATTCCAGTCCATTTTAGTTCAGTGATTCCTAAAATGTCGACATTCATTCTGTCCATCTTCTGTTTGACCACTTCCAATTTGCCTTGATTCATGGACTTAACATTCCAGGTTCCTATGCAATATTGCTCTTTACAGCATCAGACTTTACTTCCATCACCAGTCACATCCACAACAGGGTGTTGTTTTTGCTTTGGCTCCTTCTCTTCATTCTTTCTGGAATTATTTCTCCACTAATCTCCAGTAGCATATTGAGCATCTACCAACCTGGGGAGTTCATCTTTCAATGTTCTATCTTTTTGCCTTTTCACTCTGTTCATGGGGTTCTCAAGGCAAGAACACTGAAGTGGTTTGCCATTTCCTTCTCCAGTGGACCACATTTTTTCAGAACTCTCCACCATGACCCATCCATAGACGTTATATATTTATTTAATTAATGGTTTTGTTCTTCCTAAGAGATTGTAATTCTCACAAGGACTAAGAAGAGATACACATTTGTTCCCCACTGTACCTCCAGTATCTAGCACAATGCCCAATATTAATATGCACTTAATGAACATGGAGTGAGTAACTGAGTGACAATAAATTCTTGCAGTTATTTACTGAACATAACTTTTCTCTTCCCTACTCTTATTCTTCTTTTCATTCCCCAGGAAACTTGAGTTCAGATTCTAATAATCAGCATCCATTAGTGGCAGGCTATAAGGGATATTTTTAGGTTTCCAACACGATCTTGAAAAGAGTTCCTTAGTAAGAGACAGTTTCAGAGTGATTTTGAAGTTCTCCACAAACTCCTAAGCACCCTCATCCCAGTGGTTGAAGTCTGATTCTTCCCCTAAGCAGTATCCTAACTTTTACCTAAAATAGCAGAAGAGGATTCAAACATCATGTGAAAATGTTTATTAACACACCATAGAGGGAATATACTGCTTTACAAGAAAGGGAATTCCCAAAATGGTGGTCCAGCCCACCAAGGGAACATCATTCAGTCCCAGTTCCTAGCTTGCTAGTCAGGATGGAGCATGACTTCCCCACAGGCCTTCCACAGAGCACTGCACCCCACATGTCACACTTCAGACTTCTGACATGTAGTAATAAAATGCTTGGGTAGCTTTGATCAGTAAATCTAAGACTATCATTAGCAAGTAGACTTAGTGTTAGTGTCTCTCAGTTGTGTCTGACTCTTTGCAACCCCATGGACTGTAGCCCACCAGGCTCCTCTGTCCATAGAATTCTCCAGGCAAGAATATTACAGTGGGTAGCCAGTCCCTTCTCCAGGGGATCTTCCTAACCCAGGGATCAAACCCAGATCTCCCACACGGAAGTCAGATTCTTTACTCTCTGAGCCACCAGGGAAATAATAGAGAAGGCGTATCACAAAGACTAGATTTTCCATGGCAGGATCCTGAGAAGCATGCACTGACGTTAGTTATGCTTCTGGAGGATGATTCGGCACTGTAGAGAAGGACACAAACTCCAATCAGACTCTGTAGGTTAAATGTGGGTGCCTATCACTGGCTTCCTTCAAGGTCTCCTTTAAGGTCTTCCTTTAAGGTCTCTTTTCTCAGTTATGGTCTCCTCATCTATAAAACGGGGATAATGATACAACTTGGAGGGCAATTTATTAATAAAAACTCAAAGAGGCAATGCCTGGCACACAAGAAGAATTTGATAAATGTGAGCCATTGCTATCACTATCTTCAGTTGGAGTCGGCTTTCTCTCTGTCCCCAAAATGCAGACCTCAGTATACAGCTTCAAATAGTGATCTCCCAAGAACTGCTCTGCTGCTTACCCACCAAATGCCGTTGGAGGTGAGACTAAGTCACTACATCCTGAGATTTCCTGGAGACGTGAAGGAGTCACTGAATTCTTATAATCAGAGAGAGCCCGAGTTCCACAGTATCCTTGAGGGAAAACAGAGGAGAGGACATCCACAGAGAAAAAGAGGAAACATCTGGAATGTTCTCATAGAACAATGAACAATTCTTTGGGGGTGCCTCTCTAACATTCCATGCAGAGAAGCTGCTGATACTATTTCTTCTGGAATGACTTTGTTTTAAAAGTGGTGGAAATTCATGTTTCCAGGTGCATGGATATACATATTGATCTCTTAAAGGCCAGGCCTTCCCTGCACTCAGGGTTTTTACATCGCTGTGTTCTCTTTGCCCCCATGGATCCCAGCTGTCTCATCAACATTCTGCTCAGAATCACAGCCCTTCCCGCCTCCAGCTCCCACAAGCTTTTCCACTAGTGCTGCCTGTTCTTTTAAAGAAAGGAAGGTGAGAGAGAAAAGGGAACCCCAACTACAAACAGCGGTAAGAAAAGACGATGAAGCAAAGAAAACCACTAGGGACAGGATTTTAAAAAAAGAAAAGGAACAAGACAAGCAGCATGGTACAGGGGCTCCAAGAAGAATAATTAAATAAATATTTTTTCTTTATTTTAGCGCAGGATGCAGAAGACTATCCCAGAAGCTTCTGCATAATCAGAAACATGTTTTCTAGATTACATTGACATTCATGTCTAATTAAGTGCTGCCTCCTCTTCAGAAGTGAGCGGCTTCCACTTTATTCTTTACAGTTAGTTCTATTAATCCTGTTTAATCCAGGTGTTTTCTTGGTAAAGAATAAGTTTCTTAGCCCTCATGCCAGTCTACATTCTGGGATGTCCATTAAGAAAATGTCTCAAACTTTTTGAGTTTGTGAAAACTACATGTTTGCTTTTTTTTTTTCATTTCTCTCAACTTTTGCTGAAGATTTAGGGAACAACCTAGAAGTGATAAAAAAAGACTCAATAAAAACAGGCTCATGGCCTCCTTCCTCCACCTTTAAAGTACATCACTCCAACCTCTGTCTCACTGTCACATCCAGTTTTTCTCACTCTTGCCTCCCATGTATAAGCATGTTATGATTTTGTTAGGCTCACCCATATAATCCAGGATACTTTTCCTATCCCCAGATATTTAACCTACTCACATTGGTACACTCCATTTTACTATGTAAGGTAACATATTCACAATTTCCAGGAATTAGAACATGGACATTTTGGAGTAGCTTTTATTCTGTCTACCACACCATGCATCACAAGTATCTCTAGCAAGTACAGGCAGTTTTCCTTTCATTTATTATTTCATACATTGTATGTTCCTATAAACATGTATAAAACATGGATGTCTGAAAACTGAGAATTCAATAACATGTAACCAGAAAAGGAAGGCCTATCTGGTCCCTGAAAGCTTAAAAAATAGAGTCCTTATTTATACTTTGGACTTAGTTCTCAATGATGTCTGTCTAGCATTATACACATTTTCCATATTTTTTTCCACAGTTGAAATCACAGATGAGTCGCTTAAGTAAGATGAGTATCTGAAGCTAAAGACATCTAATGATATCTGTATTCGTTTAAATTAGTTTTATAAGGCTAATGCTAATTTTCAATTTTCCATTTATCATACAAAATTTATGGAAATAATAATATGAATAATTAAAAACAAAAAAATGTATTCAAATAGTTTCCCAAAGACCACATTACTACTGAAACTGAGTTGTTGTCTGACAGACAGAAGCACTATGACATGTCTTTAAATGTCTGTTCACCATAGTCCAAAATCAGTTTATGAAATGTACATGAGGAATCAATTCTAATGAGATAAAATTAAAGGAATTTCAAAATATAAATTTGATTTGTATAGAGATAAAAGACTTGATGGGACATAGATGGGGAGACACTGGAAACATTGTTAGATTTTATTTTTTCGGGCTCCAAAATTACAGCAGATGGTGATTGCAGCCATGAAATTAAATGATGCTTATTCCTTGGAAGGAAAGTTATGACCAACCTAGATAGCACATTAAAAAGCAGAGACATTACTTTGCCAACAAAGGTCTGCCTAGTCAAGGCTATGGTTTTTCCAGGGGTCATGTATGGATGTGAGAGTTGGACTGTGAAGAAAGCTGAGCACTGAAGAATTGATGCTTTTGAACTGTGTTGCTGGAGAAGACCCTTGAGAGTCCCTTGGACTGCAAGGAGATCCAACCAGTCCATCCTAAAGGAGATCAGTCCTGGGTGTTCATTGGAAGGACTGATGCTGAAGCTGAAACTCCAGTACTTTGGCCACCTCATGTGAAGAGTTGACTCATTGGAAAAGACCCTGATGCTGGGAGGGATTGGGGGCAGGAGGAGAAAGGGATGACAGAGGATGGCTGGATGGCATCACCGACTCGATGGACAGGAGTTTGAGTGAACCCCGGGAGTTGGTGATGGACAGGGAGGCCTGGCGTGCTGTGATTCATGGGGTCGCAAAGAGTCGGACATAACTGAGCAACTGAACTGAACTGACTGAAGAGACCTGAAGTACGTTTTTGTTTTTGTTTGGTTTGGTTTCCCTTTATTGAACGGAAAGCCATAGGAAAACTATTTCTTTTATCTGCTAAAATACCATTAGTCTTGGACTGGGGTCATTTACACAGTCATCTAAAAACAACAAACCTAAAATAGCATTTCCTTTAATGCTTAAGGGGCAATTTATTTGACAAAACTCAACATTATTGAAATAAATTTTAGTGTATGCTCCCAAATGAACTTTTTCTCTTTTTCTTAGGGAAAACAGGTAACACTAACTGGAGTGCCATTTAAATATTTGCTTGGGTCTGGGTGCTAAATCTGGGTGCTTTATTATAATATAGACAGAAAATATCTCCTCAGGCCTTTTTAAAACACCCTTCCTTTATATGCTGCAGTAAAAGGGGTGTAAATGTACCACTTACCTGAATGGATGCTTGTGAGGACTGCAAGAGTTAATACATATGAAATTCACAGCCAGCATATAGTGAGCAGTCAGCAAGTCTTAGCAATTTTCATTTATAAGCAATATAAACCAGGTCACACTTACAGAAGAAATTTCAACTCTGTTCTTTTTTAATCCAATAATTGTTATGCACTCCTGTGTGTAACATTACCTGCCCCACCATTGTTTCCCAGCAGGGTCCTCGAGGTACATCTGCAGGGTGCACAAAAAAGGGTGGCCCTGTCGTATTTCCAGCAAGGGATGCATTGTAGGCCTTGATCATGTTGGCTTCCCATAGGGTAATATTGGCCTTTACTAGCTTCTCCTCTTCAATCTAGAAAGGAGAGTATTGGAAATAAAATTGAAACAGATTTTGAAGGCATTTCTGGCAATCTTGAGACTGGGAATGTAACAATGTGCTGATGGCAAGGACAATCCAGACACAAGATTTACCTTGTTGTTAATCTCATCCATCAGGGCAAGAATAAATACATACAGGTTGCCTAAAAGAAGAGCAAAAATGCGTCCCAGTAGCCATTTCAGAGCAATGAGGGGATGGTAGTCTTCCAATTCAGCAAATAAGTCAAATAGTGTAGGACAGAACATCCCCAGGAGGGACATGACCATGTTCATCTACAAGAAGACACAAGGGGTGAACCAAGTTGATGGTGTTTAAAAATTATTGTTGTTTTCTTCCAAATTTGCAAGATTCCAACTAGATTCCTTTGATATTCTATAAGACTAAAAATTATTTCATGCATTTTTAAAATATGATCTTAATAAAATAGGGACAATATTCAACTCATACTTTTAAGATGTACATGCGCACAAGTTTGTGGACATGCCAGTAATAATAGTCTATTTCCTAGTATACAAGGGATATGATTTACATTGCTTTTTATGCAGATAATACATTGGTCTACATGGCAACAATTCTGCACTTCACAACAAGCTTTCCAAAGAAAATGAAAAATTATCTGCTTGAGGAATGGGTTCAAATAGGAAATACTAATTTGACAACCATCAACACATAGGCTAGTTTAATCAACTAGAATGGATGAATTCCTTGAGATGGGCTCGGGACTACTGAGTTAGGGCAAATGCAAACTGTTGGGGGCAAAAAGAAAGAAAATGGAATAGATCTTATCAAATAAAACAGAGAGGATGTTCAGAAAATACAAAAGGAGAATACATAGCATAATGTCATCAAAGCCAAGACAGACAAGTTTCAGGAATAAAGGACTGGCTTATAAGGTCAAAAGTAAGAGAAGTATGAAAGAGAGAGAAAATGAAAATATGACAAGCTGGAAATTTGTGGTCCATATCTCCATATTGATTGACACACTTATGAATATATTATTAGGGTAAATTAAGCATGTGCCACATTTATAATGGGGGAGAAAAACCTTTAAATAAAACTTTTAAAAAGGTTCCACATGTACACCTATGGCTGATTCATGGCAATGTATGGCAAACCACTACAATATTGTAAAGTAATTAGCCTCCAATTAAAATGAATAAATTTATTTTTAAAAAAAGTTCCAGTTGACACTGGCAATTCTTTTGCCTGAATAGCTGGCTCAAATTGTCACTACTGTGAGTTCCCATTTCCCCCAGTGGACTCCATGTTTTGAATGATTAGAACTACCAGGCTATATTTAGAAAATAATTATCAATATGTTTTTTTTTGCTTTTGACTAAGAACATTATATAAGTATGACTAGTGGGAGCTAACAGTCAGCATGATGTATATAAAATCAGCATAATATAATTTCAGCCTAAAGTAAAAACTTGGCAGAGTCTATGCAGTCTAAGGTAAGTTTGAATTGTTTCATCAAATTTGTAAAGTTTTTCATGAATCTGCATTATTACCTTTGTTGGTCCTTAGAATCAGGGGTCCCCTAAGATGGATGTTTTTTAATCCATCTGGGCTGGATGAAGCACAAGCTGGAATCAAGATTCCCAGGAGAAATATCAACAACCTCAGATATGCAGATGACACCACCCTTATGGCAGAAAGTGAAGAAGAACTAAAGAGCNGGACATGACTGAGTGACTGAACTGAACTGAACTGAAGATGGATATTAACCAAGTTCTTATAAAGAGTGACCGTTTTAATGATAATCAATTACCCATTCTTTTGTGGTTCACTGATACAAAAATATAATCAATATGAACCACAAACCAAAGTGGTATGATAATTTTGCCTACAAGTGCTATCATAACTGCAAAAGATAATCTTAAAAGCAAACTTAGTAATACTGTGAGATTCCCCCTTAGTTTTAAGTAAGTAAGACCCTTCCTAATGACTCTGTTTTACAGGATTCCATGAAATATCTATGTCTTCATAGTCTCTTAAATGTATGGTCTAACATCTTCAGCATTATTGCTTGTGAAATACCTAGAATGTTTTTGTTCGGAGCCTTCTGTTTTAAGTGTGCTATACCATCTTCTGCCCAAGATTTTTCTAAGAGATTCTATGCTTATGAATACTTTCTTAATCTGTTTAGTCTATAAGGCTTTGCAGAAGTTTCAGTGCTGTAAATCTATACTTCCCATCTGCTTAAATCTTCATATTCTTTGAGAATGCCCTAGTTCAAAATGATGTCAGATTGTATTCTGTCAGATTGTATTCTGGAACATTTTATGAAAGGGAACAGGCCCAAGAAACAACACATGACCAATGATCTCCTGATTCTAAATGTCTACTTCTGACCTCTTTTCTTGGACCTGCTAAATGGGCAGATATCCTGAAGACAAATCACAACGATAATATTTAATTTCTGGCAAAGAGCTGGCCTTCCTCATTTGAATAGCACTTGGAGGGGGAGGTAATAGGGTAGGGGGACAAGGAGGTGGAGTAGTTAAGCTGCTAGTCAAAAATAGAGAGAGGCCCAGTCTTGCCCAAAGTACGGGAGGCAATCTGAATGTTTCCAATGGGAGGTTAATATAAGAATCCAGGACTTTATCATCCCCATGTCAAAGAATTCAGGCAACAACTGGATCTTTCTAAGACAGAAGCAGGACCTACAGAGAGCACAAATAGGTACATGGAGAGACTGTTGGGTTTGAAATCAAATTTCTTAAATCTTAACTCACTGTTCTCCATGGTTCTGTGACCATGAACACATCACCTAACCTGAGACTCATTATCTCTGTCTATAAAACATACTGTTTGGAATATATGTGTTCTAATCTCTCTTCCAACTCTACCTAAAGTAGCAAAGTGAGAAGCAGACACACAGTAGACAGATTTGGAAATAAGGCTGGAATAAAGAACTGTGTGCCAAGGTTCATTCACTCTCAGGGCAAGATGACAGAGGTAGGTAAAGAGTGGCTGTATTTCACATTCCAGCATTGAAGCACAACTCACGAAACCTTAAATGTCAGAGTCTAAGCACATAAAAAGCATGCAGAGACGAACTTCATTTTTTTCCCACCACCCAAGGGTGTCAGGATCTTGCTGCGCAAATTCCTGGGATCGCTTCACAGCCCAAAAGATGAGGTATCCACTCCCGCCAAGTGTTAGAAACACGAAGAAGTTAGCAAGAAACCTCAGGAATCTGATCAAGTGGATGTTTTCTTCTACTTGGGCTGCTCTTTCTTCTATTATAGCTTCCTGTACCCAAGGAAGACAGGAAAAAAAAAAAAAAGAATTATCTGATCTACAAAAAATATCATGAACTTAGGAATTATTTTCACAAACATTGGAATGTGAGGAATGAAAATGTAAACTAAATCTGGGATTCCACAAACCAGGTGAATATTGCCAGCAAGTGAGAAAATGTAAGAGAAAAAAGGAAGAATTCTTACAAACTCTGGTTGATCTAATATTAAGACAGTCTTCATTCTAAAGTCTCTTCTAGTATGGCTTTTTAAAACAATTACAAAATACGTTAGAGTTATTTTAAATATTGAGCTGATGTATTCCTGTAAATAATAAGTGAGCATTGTTCTATTATTTAAAATATTTGATTCTGATTACTAATGGTTAGCTATTCCAAGCCAATGGTGTTTTATTACCAAATTTAGAGAGAAATAGTGCTATCACAAGTCATTAATCATTTTCCAGTCATACTCAGAACCCTGCCCAGATCCTGGTAGGAAGCAATGATGAGCTAATCTTTCTTTTAATTGTCAAGATACTTTGCTATACATACCATTTGGAATGATCCTAATTTTAATTTTACAAATACCAAGAAAAGGCTCTTGAAGTTGGTGCCTTTACCTTAAAGTTCATTGTGATAGAATTGAATTTGTTGTCTGCTGTTTCAGGGTTGCCAATAAGGTAGTCCCAGCTAGTGAACACCTTCCAGCTAAAGTTGAAAGTGTTATCATCACCACCTCCGTCATCACCAATATTTTTGGTCATCCTATGCAAACAGGAGGTTTAATCCAGCAGCCAAAATACAAACAGAAAGGGAGAGATTAGGGAATAGCAAGACATCATAATTTTAGGGATATTGGAGAAGCAATATCAAAAAGACATATACTTTCAATTAAGTTTGTTCTAATAACCAAAAAAGTTTATTTTTAAAAAAATTTGGTTTGTTTTAACTTTTTAAACTTCATTTTCTAGGCTTTCAGGATTATAAAACTACTAAACATTGATGGTTTTAACAATTAAACAAGTTACATAAAAATATGTTTTTATTTGTTTTCCTAAACTGTTTTCTTAGGGTCATATACTGGACTCTGAACCGATTATGGGACAAGGATCTCTTTAGAAACCTGATGAAAACCACTGGGCCCCTACCCAGTGGAAAAAATATGTATGGGCTCTAAAATGGTTGTACACAATTTTAGCTGGTTTACAGTTGAAAGCATAGGGATAGATTAAGCCAGGTCAGATCAGGAAACTTCTTTATAGGTTTCAAATCCTCTAAGAATCTCCTCCCAAAGAGTGATTACACTGAATGCATGAAAGTTTTCCATACTCGACAACTCTTGACCAAAAATCAAGATTTTTATACAAATTTAACACCAAGTGGTTACATATATTCTAATAACTTATGTTTAAAAAATTGTTTTTTGCTTGGACCATTTAAAATATATTTACTTAAAGGTTTATTTCAGTGGTTAAAAATCTGTATCCAACTTACTTCACTTCCTACCACCATAGATAGCAAAATTAAAACTTTATATGATACATATTACAGAATGGTCCTATAAGGTTTTGGTTTTTTACAGTGCTATGGAATTAAAAAGAAAAGGAGAATGAGGACATAAAGATGACATTATAGTTTGGCAGACATCTCTCAGGTCATCTAAATTCCACCACTGTTAGTCCTATCTCTTACAGAGGTTAATATGTTTCAAACGGGCTCATGTGTTTGAAAAATAACTAAAAATAATTATTACTTACCAAGCTATTATTACCTGGTAAGTAATAATTATTACTTACCAAATTATTACTTATTCTACCACTTTACCCTCTGCAAATGTTATTTATGTGTATTATCATATCTGTCCTTCTCAAAAACTTAATGAGAGGTCAAGGTAGTTGATACTATTCTCTGTTACAGATGAGGAAGCTGAAGGGTAAAGTTATGAAGTGATTTCCTGGACATAATTCAGAAGTAAATCACAGAGGTGGGTCAAGAGCTCAGGTTTTCTGACTTCACTCTTGTACCCAAGCTAGGACAACATGAGATATGTTGAACCATACAAGATGCCTTTTTGTAGGTCAAAAAGTGTTGAAATCAAACATTCCTAATGATTTAATCTAGGGAGAAAATTATTAGTTTTTGATTCCTTTTGTGCACAGTCATTGAGCAAAGGGCAGGGCCTCAGGTAAAATTGATCACTTGACAGATGATTTTGCATGGACCTTTATCACTGGAAAGATTCTATACCTGAAGTCAGCCTCCCAGAGAAGGGAGCTCAAGCTTGACAAGCAAACTGGGGACATCTAGCACATGGCAATTGTAAGAAAGGGATTGGAATACTAAACGCATAAGGAAGGATACTGAAGACAAACTCCACAAACAACACATTTTTACTGAGATGGCCCTGATAGCTATAAAATGTTCCATGTACAGCTCCATCCCTTCGCTGCAGAGAAAAAAAGTGTACATACTTAAACAAAAATTCTTCCTTTTTCAAGGGGGCTATAGTTTTGAACAACTGTATCTCAAGCTATCTCAACATATAATTTGCAAGGAAGAAGGAAGTGGAGGAAGGACGATGAATGATCAACCATCTTGCCTTGTCAGGGACTAAGTGGTTACCCAGGACAAAAGACTCTCAGTGCTAAAGCCGATGGAGTCCTGGGTCAACAAAGTTAGCCATCCTATCTTAAAATCTCAAAGTACTTTCTTGTATATCTATCTAATTTTCCTTCCAGTTTCCCCATTGGTGTTGGTTTAGCTGCTAAGTCGTGTCCAACTCTTGTGATCCCATGGACTGTAGCCCACCAGGCTCCTCTGTCCAAGGGATTCTCCAGGCAAGAATACTGGAGTGGGTTGTATTTCCTTCTCCAGGTGATCTTCCCAACCCAGGGATCAAACCCGGGTCTCCTGCACTGCAGGCAGATTCTTTACTGACTGTGCTACCAGACAAGCCAATTTCCCCATTAATTAATAAAACAGATACCTGCTTCCCTTTTATGGATGAGGAATCTGCAACAAACAGTATGAGCAAGAGGACAAAATCCCTCAGTTGCCTGGTTGATTTTAAGTACTCAATTTTAGTTTCACTTCATTTGAGGCATGTATCCCATAAAGCCACTCATGCTTATTCCAAGAACGTATTTGTTTGGCAATGGTGGGGAGCAGTGGGGGGAGATGATAAAGATTCTGTACAATCACTTATATCCCACCAATTGTTTTTCTACCAAGTTCTGCCCCCCAGGACTCTGAGCAGCTAGGAGTCATAAATGGCTTTGGAATTGTCTTGCCATAAAGGCCAGTGAACTTAAACCACTTGCCAATCATGTAGTGAACAAACAAAGGTCCCCTGCCAGAGGGAGGAACCAAAATCATGCTGGTTTAGGTGGTATAACATGGATGACTTTGAGGGTGAAATGTGGAACTGGTGCCCTGCAGGTATCCTAAATGGCATCTTTGAGTTAATTCGAAATAGTTTCCATCTCCTGGAGAGCTGCACTAGCCAGTAAGTTTGCTATCAGCAATATGTGGTCACTGAGCACTTAAAATGTAACTGGTGTTTCAAAGACTTAGTACCAAAAAAAGACAGAAAATATCTCAATAATAATTTTAGATTGATTATATGTTGAAGGAACAGTTTTGATATATAGAGTTAAATAAAATACATTATTAAAATATATTCTACCTATGTATTTGTTTAGGATAGCTGCTGGAATATTTAAAATGCATGTCCCTTGTCTTATATTTCTTTATATGCTATTCTAGATGCTTCATACTCATCTGCCAGAAATTATAATAAATGTACAAATCTATTAATGTACAACTACATAACCATGCATAACTACCTTACTGTGAGGGCTATCATATGACCTTACTTCCTATCATGCTGGCTTTGTTTGGTTTTTCAGTAAGCCTATGAATTATAATCCTAATAAAACAGTTACATTAGTATATGCCAGCCATGTTCTAAGTGCTTTGAATGTACTAACTCATTTTGTCCTCATGGCCATCCTAACATCAAGGTGTTATTACACCTCTATGAGAAATAGGAAAGGGTTTCCATGGTAGCTCAGCTGCTAAAGAATCTGCCTGCAATGCAAGAAACCTTGGTTTGATTCCTGGGTTGGGAATACCCCCTAGAGAAGGGATAGGCTACCCACTCCAGTATTCATGGCTTCCCTGGTAGCTCAGACAGTAAAAAATCTGCCTACAAGGTGGGAGACCTGGGTTTGATACCTGGGTTGGAAAGATACCCTGGAAGAGGGATGGCAGCCCACTCCAGTATTCTTGCCTGGACAAGAATTCATCTCTCTACAGACAGAGAAGCCTGGCAGGCTACAGTCCATGGAGTTACAAAGGGTCAGACACAACTGAATGACTAAGCGACTAAGCACATCACAGAAGCAGGAAAACAGAGCAGTTGAACAATTTGTCAAAGTTCTTTTATAATGGGCTAGAGCAGGTATTTGTATTCATGAAGAATGGCTCATGGCAACCCACTCCAGTATTCTTGCCTGGAGAATCCCATGAACAAAGGAGCGTGGCAGGCTACTGTCCATGGGACGATACGAGTCGGACACAACTTAGCGACTAAACCACCACCAGAATGGCTCAAGAGACCATTAGAGTATATAGCCTCTGAAGAGTCACTAAAAGAAGCTGAGGAATTGGACATCCATAGATATGCTTCCTCAGGAAAATGGAGACTAAAGGACTGATTTGAAATGATACTCACAAGGCCTGTGTGATATAATTGGTACCCTTGACTTTAATCCTGCCAAATCTAAATGGCTAAAAGACCAGAAATATGTTAGATTTTTTGGAATGAGGCACTAGTTTAGCAGGTAGACAGATAGTTTACAGACTTAGGGTCTCTGATTACACTTGGACAAGTAGATAAAGATTTTGGATACAGGGTCTCCATTAAGGCCTTTTTCAAGTTCTGAAAAGGGCTTAAAAATCTAAACGTGATAGTTTTCTCTGGAGAAACCAATAAGTTGGGCAGGGACAGGACACAAAGCATGTTTCAGACTGTGCCAGAGAGCTCCTGCTCAAGAGGACTTGGACCCTCAACTAAAGGTCCTTCCCTGCAATGACGCAAAAGCCCAGTTTACCTTGTGCATAGTTAAATAAAAGGGAGACTTCATTGAGATATTTCAACACTTCTGCTAAACTGGTTCAGAAAATTAGCTAAAAGTTAGGTTATTCACAGCCCTAAATGACTGTGCGAGGTTTCTGCAGTGTCTTCAAGTGAGGTTTTAACAATATATTTCAAACAGGGGGAAAAAATAAGCTGCAGTTTCATCAGTTCCCCCAATGAAATTCTTTCCCATGCTCTTAATAAATCCTCTTCCAAGATAAAATATGATTACACAGTTGATCATGATGATCTCATTGAGGGCCATTTGTTTCTGCTGTCTTACACAGCTGAAATTTTTTGGATGAGTGATTATTCTGTTTTTTGTGGGTGTTTTGCTGTTGTTTTTTTAATGAACAGAGAACAACAGATTCTGCCTATTGAGCTGATTCTGCAAGTCACAAACCTCTCTGCATGCTAAAGAGGGGTCAGCAGCTGTTTTCCTGTCTTGTTTGCAACATTGACTTACACCTTAAAATTATATAAAAGAGCACAATTTTAAAATATGCTTAACCACAAGATAGGCACACAACCATCACTGTGACCCAGTGATATGATCAAAGGCTTGCCCTTGTTTTCAATCCTTTTGTTTGGGAGATGTAGTAGTCTAACATTAGTACAGGTATTAACACCACATTTTATCTCTTATATACTCTGCATTCTCTAGACATCAAACAGAAAAAAAAAAATCCAGTTCCCAAATTAACTTTCCCATTTGATTCCAGCAATCATTGTTTGCTTCCCAGAAGACCAATGAAACTTACGCTTTAAGGACAACCAGAAAACTGTATCCAATGCACATGATCCCCACCAGAAAATAGGAGAGTGGCAGTCTGAAATTCATCCATCCAATTGTTCGTTTGTTGTCGTAATAGCCATAAAAGAGGACGGAATATTGAGCCAAGCCCTAAAATCCAACAACAAAGCCGCTTAACAGATGCTGTGAAGAGCAACTCAAAGAAAAAAGATCGACTTCTAAGAAGAATAACAAAATGACATTAATTCTCAAACTTGGGAGATGGCTCTGACATGAGCCCTATTGTTTTGTTTCATGGAATGACTGTTTCAGCTGCCACACTGACTGACAGCCTCTTGGTTTACTTGAAATTCAGGGACTTTCAAATAGATCAAATTTTTAACCAAATATAGGCTTGCTCAGCTGTGGAGCCATTACCCTGAAAGGCCCATTGATTGAAACATCAAAACACCCTTCATGGTGTCATTAGATTTACAATTTTAAGAGCTTGCTTAATATTGGGGGGAAATCTGAAACGTGCTTCCTCAAAGTTTCATGGCAGGTTTCCATTTTCAGTCACCTAAGCCACAGTTAGATTTGTTCTCCATAAGCTACAGAGGCCATGTCTCAGCTCACACTTAGCAAAAACAAGGAGCAGATGAGACGACACTGGAACCAATATATACAACCTTCTATTCATCAAGACTATTATCCCCGAATGAGCATGTTTATTCATACAACTACATACTCTTTCCCAAAAATTATCTGCCAGGGTTGGCATCACTGTCTTCCAAAGCCAACTAAGCAACTGCTCTCTATACATAGAACATTGCATATTTTGATGCTGTTTCCCTTATAATATTCTTCATCTTTCTCTCCTCTCATTCACTGTGTTCTTCACTCTTAGTTTGGAGGCTTTGTTTCTGTATTACTATCCATCCACTTCCCCCTCTTCTCTCTGGCAATAATTTAAAACTACTATGCTTTGTTAAGTGAGAGGATAATTGCAGTAATAATACCAACCAATAAATTTGACTGAGCAGGGACTTCCCTGGTGGCACAGTGGGAAAGAATTGCCTGCCAGTGCAGGGGACATGGATTTGATCCCTGCTCTGGGAAAATTACACACGCCAGGGAGCAACTAAGTCCATGGGCCAAAACTACTGAGCCTAGAGCTCCCCAGCAGGAGAGGACACCACAGTGAGAAGCCTGCACACCACCACAAAGACAAAGTACAGCCAAAAATAATAAATAAAATAAATAAATCATTTTTAAAAATAAATAAAGATAAGCTTTATTGAGCAGTTAGAGTTTGCTGAATACTTCATCTTACAGAATCCTCACAAGCACCCTCTTGAAGTGGCTCCTGTTAGCGGATCATCTTCCTCTAGTTTTGTTACTTTCCACTTAGAGAAGACCCATAAGTGCAACACTCCAAGCCCCTCTCCACTGCCTCATACCAGCTCCAGGGAGGAGAACCTCATCTGATAATAGAGCATGGCTGAGGAATGGGGACAAGGTGGGGTACCACTCTTCCTCCTCCTTTGAGATCACCCTCTGTGTTCTGTCCCTGTGAGGGGCACCCTCTCCTGGTCTAGGACAGCTGGGTAGGACACTGTTCTGCAGCTCACTTGCCCATGAAAAGATGCATATTCTTCAATATCCCAGCTTTAACAATGATAAAGGTGACATGTTGACCTCCATCTGTCTGTTTGTCTTATTTCTGGTTAGTTTACAACCCGAGCTGACAACGCATGTGGTATTATTTACCATGACTCTCCCCCTGCAAAAGGACACTATAGTTTTACAGCTACTTTGCAGATGAAGAAACTGAGTTTTAGAGAAGTTAAGTTACTTGTCCATGTTCACGCAGCTAGTAAGCAACAGTCTGAACCTGACCTGGGTCTAATTTTAAATCTTTATACTTAACCACTGTGCTATACTGCTTCTCCTATGTTCTCTTTGCCTACCAGGTCTTGCATCATACTAAGGTCTTATCTATCCAGGAAAACAATGAAACTGAAGCCCCAGGACCCCTGGATTGGTTCAGAGTGGTTCCAGGATCCCTGGACACTCCTTTTGAAAAGATTTCAAAGCGCCTCATCCCCATCCTTGAAGGGCCTCATTCTCCCTTGTATAAACATTACAAGCTGACTTCTTTTTCTAATTCATAACAACCGTACTGGGATTAAAAGCCACCTCCAAAACAACATAAAAGGAGAAAGGAGATATGCAGCCAACATCTGGTGAGCTTGTTAAGTTAGCACAATAGCTACCAGGGCAGCTAACTCATCTGGCATATGTATTACTCAGCATATGTTCAATGGTGGCACTACATAAATATTAGATCACAACCAAAGTGGGTAAGGTCCCTTTTTTTTGAATCCTGATTATTTCACAAAGGTTTCTTCAGTTGGCCTATTTCTACCTATGCAGTGAGGCATGTAAATAAAAGAGGAGGTACTATTGAAGAGTACAATTTTTAAAAGCTTTATCCAGTCCCTCTCAGTGGCATATTGAGGGGTGGTTTTAAACACTCTGAAAGGCTTAAAAGAAGATTCTCCCTTCCCTTCCACCCTATGGGCCCACCACAAGCCATACATCTTTCCCTTTCCCTTAAAGCTCCAACAGCAGACATCTGGAAGTGACTAAAATAGCAACGACTCCTAGCCTAGCCAAGGTTCCACTCGGTTTCCATGTCAGCGCACATGGCTTTTCCTGTGGGAACACTGTTCCATCCCCAAATCTGTGACAGAGAAACCACAGCCAGAGCCAAGTTTCAAATGAGCACAGAAAATTCCTGTCCAATTCTGGGCTCCAGGCTTGCACATCATCTACTAAATCTCTAATTTCAATCTGAATGCTATGCTGCTGCTGGTCTAGAGCATAGTAACCAACACGCATCCACGAGAATGTTTGGATGTTTTGGTCACAGGTAATAATGTACTTATTTATCTAACTAATTTTTAATGAGAACATATTTGCTAAATGTTACACATAGATGGAATGGGAGACTGGATTACAGAGACCCTTAAGAAAAGTTCTACATGCAAATCCCTTTTAAACCATACCGGCTTCTGTAAAGAAAAATTCCATTTGCCTTTTGTGTCATGATCCACAACTGACAAAAATGGTGGAGCTTCTAGATCATATGCCCAACACCTATTACACATCTCACTCCATTTGAATGTTCCACAGGAATCTTGACCATAGTACCTTTTAAAAGTTCTCCCACATTTTAAAAGCTTTTCCCTCCTACCTCAGGAAATGAACCACCAACCCACGATTACCTCGGCCAGAAACTTGGACATTTTCACTATCTTCCCATGTTTGTACCCATGAGATGCATGCAGCCATTCACTAAGCCCTTAGTTTCTGCCTCATCACCTTATCTGATACTCGTCCCTTCCCTGTATACCACCACCATTCACAGGACTCCCTGCCTTCAACTTAGGAAAACAAACCAATACCATATTCACAGAGAGTCTTCTAAAGGGTAACTCTGACCATGTTTCTATCCTAATTCAAAACCGTCATATTCTCCACTGCCTAGTGAATAAAGTCTGAGTCTTCAGCACAATTAATGAGGCTGTCCTACCTGATTATACCCTCGTTTTTCATATGGCATGCTCATCTTCCACCACTCTTCTCTCTCCTTACATACCAGCTTGGCTGAATCACTCATAGATATTGAGTGCACAGCACTGTTTATTGCCTCCATACCTTTGTACATACTGATCCCTCTGCTAAGAATACTATTCCCTGTTATTCTCCCCATTTCAGAGCCCAGGTTATTCCTTCTGTTTCTTTAAAATAGGTGAAAATACCTTTGTAAAGACTTTACTGACCTCTAGACCACAGCCAGGTGTATGAGGAAATTAATGATCATTTCTTTCATTTGCACAAAGTGCCACTAGATGAACTTCACCCCATTCCTCCTCTAGCTTTTTACTCACTCCACCCCAGGGAAGATATAGTGACATCTCTGATAGGTCAATGAATTAACTTGGCTCGCCTTTCAAATTTAGAATTCAGAAGAGAAACAGAGTTACTGTTTACTGGATCCTCTAAGTGTCGGGAGCCAAGAAGAGGACAAGCGAACGCCCCGCCCATGACAAGGCTCTGGGTAAAGGTCATGGACCCAAGGAGGCCATGAACCCAGGGGAATCCAAGTCCAGTAGGCTCCGGGACACTCCCTATTCTTGCTATATGTGTCTTGTCTGTGCTAATACTCTTTCTTGGAATTCTTGGTGGTTTTTCGCTGTTCCTGGTAGACCTCGGGGAAGGTCCCAGGGACATCTCTAGGGTGTAAACGTCTGGGGGCTTCCCAGAAGAGTTAGGCTTACTCTGCCCCCAGGGAGATGGGAACCATATGAATAACCTGGTATGCGGGAGGTATTTAGATTTAGGCCATTTATAGATATGTGGGATTTTATATATAGGAGGTATATTAGGGAATATGGAAATAGATTAGAAGTTAAAACTGCTTATAAATGTGATTGTGAATCCCATCCCTGGACACGCAAACACCATTAGATTTAGTTGTAAGTTTAATAACCACACAATGCCAAAATTCTCATATTGTAGAGTAAGGGTTAAGGCAGCTGCGACGCTGCTGCTACTCCATTTCCCATGCCCATGGTGT